AGAATGCCATTTAAGACATAGGTTATAAATATTTCTAGGGAATTGAAAAAGAAAGTGCACATAACATCTGGTAGGGTAGGTTGAAACACCTGTCTTGTCACTTTCAGTAACGCCAGGAAACTGTAGGTCACTATTCAAAACACTTCAGATACTTCCATCATGGACACGTTTCTCTGCAGTTGTTCTTCTAATGAATACTCTGTTTTCAGAAAACAAATTAGGATTTGTTTGCATAGGCCTTGATACTATGAAAGAGTTGCAAGAATAGGCATCTCGGTGTGTAGTTGAGGTTTTTCTTTGATTCTGAGATTAGCAACATCTAACCGCTTTTGGGCTTCTTTCTCTTGGGGACCAAAGGGGACCATTTATGGATGGATAAATGACATAGAGCTTTCAACTGACATGATTATTTGGCACTTTGTTGTTTAGGTTTTAACATTTATGAAATTTTTACAAAAAGAAAAACTTGGTGGCCATGTCAGCTTTCTTTAGCTGCTGAAACTTTGGCATGTCTTATAACATTGCAAATAGTTCACAGTCCAAGAAATGCTTCCTTTACCTATACATTGTCCATTATAGACATTTGCTGGAAAGTTGTACTATTTATTTATTTAACTCTAGCAAGTTACTAGCTGTAGGTCTCTGGGCAGCATACGATGTATTTAAAAATATAAAATGCAATCATAATACAGTGGCTAAATAAACTAATTGTTGCCTGAGTAGTTGTGATGACAGATACCATTTTGTAATACAGAATGCCCTGTTGTTGAAAACGTGGGGAGTAGGGAAGAAGTATCACACAGCACATGTTTAAACAGTGGAAATCACTGTCCAAGATGCCAGCTTGGATGGCTTTAAAAGGAGGTTGTGTAAACTGGGGAATGCAAAATGGCTGGGTGCAGTTATGCTCATGTTCTTTTGACAGTGTTCCCTTTTGGACAAATAGGTGGTCACTGTGAGACTACAAAAGAATTCTGTCAATGAGACAATATAGAGGGATTAAAAAAAATCATAAAACGAAATCTTTCATAAAACCAGCCATACTAACTTATTTATTTATTTACTTTATTTGTATACCGCTGTTCTCAGCCCTTAGGCGACTCACAGCGGTTAACAACAAGAACAGCAAAAATTCAATGCTACAATAGCACAGTATAAAAACAGTTAACAACATAACACATTATACAATAATATACAATTAACAACAATAGCCATTCACTAGCGTCTCATCCCTAAAAACATGATCCAGATCCGTCGTCCATTGTTCCATTCCTATGTTCATTACACTCATTGCACTTAGAACATTAAACAGAATGCAACTGGTTTTCTCCTGAACAAAAATTAATATCTGAATGAGGCTTAAAGAGGCCTTGCGCAGTTGCAGTTTGGGATATAGAGAAATGAATTCAGATTCGATACTGAAATTTTGCTACACACACATAGAAGAGCCCTACTTTTAAAATATTTGACATTCTGCAGATGTATATAATGCTTTTAAGCCCTGGTGCTTTTTAGTATAAGAATCTGCTTTAGATCTTAAGTATTCTTTTGTGCTCCCTGCCCCCTCCCCCTGCTATATTTATATTCCTCCCTGGCTAAAGTACTAGAAAAAATGCACCCTTGTTCAGAAAATAGCCTGGTGGGCTTTGTGGAGCTTCTTGAGTACACATGGTCAGGGCTCCACTATGAGTATGGGGTCATGTAGTAAGACACTCTATGAAGAAGCTTATCCCATTTTGTTTCTTATGGGGACTTGTGTTTTGTCCGTTCTTGAGCTATTCTTGCAAGTTTTTAGTACACAAAACAAAAGAGAGAGATGGGAAACAAATGACAAAACAAAGTGTAGTTTTACCCCAGCCTCTCCCTCCTCCATACCCTGAACAAATCTAACTGTTACCTCCTCCACTAGTTGATAATTTAGCTGTATATTGTTGAAGAAATAAACGGGCACAGTCTTGGTGAGGTTTCTTCTAAATGTAGAAGACCTGAAGAAATCAGGATGTCAATAAAACTCTTAGGGCCCGAGGGAATGTATTTAGAAGAGAAGAAGAAAGTTCTGGTGAAAACATGAAAAGGTAAATAATATTAAAAGAGTGCCTTCAAGACAGTTAAAATAAAGCCAAAATGCTGTAAAATTGCAGTAATAGTAATGTTATTAACATATTTAATCTTTCTTTCTGTAGTATTTAGAAATTATTATAGTTACTGATCGCTACTTATTTGCTATCAAGTCTGTTCCAATTTATGGTGCCTCTATCAGTGAAATCTTCAATCGATCACTTGCCAGTAATATTTTCTAAATTGTTGTCACTTGAAAATGAACTTTAGGACATACAGTTGTTGTATTCTAATTCTTAATATATTTATTCAGAAGATCAATTAAGATGGATTTCAATAAAGGGCAATGGGTTGTAGTGTAATTTTTGATACTCTTACATTAAATGTTTGTGTAATCTGTTTGCGCTCATTAATTTTACTGTAGTGTCCAGTTTGATGCACACTGTTTCTATATTTTGTATATGTTGTCAAACAATCTAGGGGAAGTATTTAATGCAAGTTCTAAATAAATGAAATAAGTATCACCTACAGAATGACTAGGCCTCACCGACTACTGTCCAGCAATGAGATATTTCAGAAGGAGGCAAAACGTTGTACATCCGTTTCCTTGTATGAAAATGACTGAGTTAAAGATCCATAAACTAAGCACCTGCTGTTTTTAGAGCATGTATGATCAAAATTCAGTTTCCAGAAATTGGGTATAGCTTTCTGTACAGATTTGCCTGTTGCCTGTAGGCTGTTGTTGCACTTCCCCACTTCTATCAGCCGTAAATACCAGTTGAAAAACACCTCCAGAAGATTAGAGGGAATCTACCCAAAAGTGTAACAGTGTATTTTATAGCGGCAGTAGAAGGAGAGAGTCACCTGTAATGGGCCAGAGAGTTTTTTCACTATTCCTGCATGTTTCCAGATCTCTAAGACTAAACTGTATTATTCAGTGGAGTTGTGTATATGTGTGTAGGTGGTGGGGGATGGGGCTGCAGAAAAGAAAGATGAATTGTGAAAATTCCTTCTCTGCTCACACACAGTTGCATATATTACATCTGCCTGCTCCAAAAGACAAGCTGAAATATAGCTTCCACGTTTCTAACTTTTCAAAAAGAAAAATGTCAGAACAATCATTATCTCTAAGTAGCATATTCTAGAACTTCAGAGTGTAGTTTGCCTTATTAGAAATATTCTCATTTCCTTGGATTTAAGGGGAAGTGTTTGCTTACAGGCTTTTGTCATGTATAGTAGACTCTCAGTTAACTGTAACTCAAGCAACCAGTAAAAGAAAGAAAGAAAAGAATAATACTGCATTCAAAAAGCTGTTTTTAATACTGTAAAACTATGATACATTAAGTTACATTGTTAAGTTTGTTCCTATTTGTCTTAATTTGATTTTAATTACTGTATTTTAATATTAATATCAAGTCAATACAGAGTGTATGGTATGGTATAATATGGGGTATAATATTAGGCCTATTTTTAATAGTAACTCTCAAGCAACCAGAAACTATACATATCCAGCACCTACCTATCCCCATAGGTACTAGTTAACAGATTAAGCATTATGTGTATTATTATGTGTATTATGTATTATGCCGAGGCCATTTTTGCTAGCAATCCTTTCAGTGTGTCAACAAAACCACACTAAAAGGATCATTTCTTCATACTTTTTTTCCAGAATAATTTTCCAAATTTATTTGCTGTTGAAACTTTCCTGGATGTTTTAGGCGACAGATAAATATATTTGTAACGAGCCATTTCCAGACTGTAAAATGGTTTGGAAATGTTTATGTCAATACCCAATGACACATAATTGTGTTGATAATGATGAAAAGCAAAGAGAGGGCAGTATCTTACATTGCAAATAAAAGAATAACAGATTAACTCCATATAATACCCTTTGCATAGGCTTACCGATTTTAGTGCCCAGTATTTTCTGCATTGATTCTAGCTTGTGGGTTTGTTTGTTTGCATTATAAAATGAATTATTAATTAGAACCTAAGGGCCCTTCCACACAGCCATATAACCCAGAATATCAAGGCAGAAAATCCCACAATATCTGCTTTGAACTGGGTTATCTGAGTCCACACTGCTATATATTCCAGTTCAAAGCAGATAATGTGGGATTTTATTCAGTTGTGTGGAAGGGGCCTAAGTCTTGCATGCCAGAAAAAGTAGTTTGTTAGAAGAAAACATAGCTAGTTAAAACAGTTTTCTTTCAAATATTCCAGTTAGCCAAGACGTATCACCAGGGAAGCACCCTGCCTCTGCTTTAACAAGAGATATGGATCTGGGAAAACAGTACAGTTCATACATCCCTTTTTAAATTGGAAGACTTGTATCCGTTGTTTTTCTGTACTCATGACATTAAAGGTAGATTTATTTCAAATGTCACAAGCATATTATTTGTGTTCAGTCTGGAAACCAAACATGTCTTCTCAGTAAAATAATTTGAGAGTAATCACAATGGTACAACTTAAGGTCTTACAACATATATGTTAAACCTAATGTCAGAAAATCTCCATGCAGTTTGTTGCATTTGCAAGTGAGATTAGGATGAGTGGTACAATTGTATCCGAGTTCACTACTCTTTGCTATTAAACATCTTCTGTCTTAGGCCCAGTCTAAGCTAGTTCTCACATTGATTCTTTGCCCTTTGCTCAATATTCCCTCTAGAGCACATTGGCAGTAGCATTTTCATGCATCTTTGGCATAGCAGAAAAATCCCCATTTGACCTCTGTTTTGCAGAGTGAGTGTCTGGGGTTTTAGTCTGTGGCCCACTAGCAATATAGAGCCAATGTGCCTGGGGTGCAGTTGTCATGTTACCTTTATTTTTCATCAGCTTTCAACATTTCAGGGTTTAAAGCAGCCACAGCTTGTCTTTTTATTTTCTGTGACGATTAACATGTTAACTCCCCCCACCCTCCCTCTCTGACCTTTTTCCATCAGGGAATGCTTATGATTGGCGATAAAGAAGTGACTTTGGAATACTGCCAGGCCCCTGAATTTTGGATGTGCAAGCAGGTGAGTGTGTGGAAAGAGCCATGTGGTTTGTTGCAGATATTTCTAATGGCTTGTTGCTTTCTGAGCGAGAAATCTCGAGCCAGTAAGAATTGTAGAGGGATATTCACACTTTTTCATATTAGAGAAAAAATAATCTCTGTGTGAAGTATGTGTTTTGTTTCAGTATAGATTCTCCCTTTGCCCACACCCTGGTGTCAGGGCTAGGGCATTGGCAGGAGGAATGCATGCATATAACTGGAAAATTCTTCACCTGAATTCATGGAGGGGGACTATTTTTTGATCAAAGACCTCATTACCTTAGGGGTAATCTGATATGGCTATGTACTAGTGGCTAGTGGAACTGAAGCCATGGATCAGAGCTAAAGGTTGTCAGTTCTGCTCCTCTATTTCTGCCATCACCTTCTTTCTTCTTTGCCATTTTCCCCATGTTGTGGGTTGCTGTAGATGTCTTTTGAAAATTGGCCAAGAGTTACATGTTGTTGCAAGTGAACAGATTCTTTCTAAATCACAGCCCAGTATTGGGATGGGAAGTGTGGTCTTTGATGTGTGTGTGTTTTTCAACCTTCTCCATTTCTGTAGATCTTGAATGCTTCATGTGAAAAAGTAAAAACAAAGACAGTCACTTACTGGGTTTGAATCCCCAACTTAGCCATGGAAACCCAGTGAGTGACTTTGGCTCAGTCACTCTCGCTCAGCCTCAGATGAAAGCAATGGCAAGCCGCTCAAGTAGATCGTGTTGAGAAACTCCCCAGTAGGGTTGCCATAGACCAGAGTTGACTTGAAGAAACATAACAGCAACAAGACTTCATAGCACTTTAGAATGTTTTGCAAAGTAACAACTTATGTAAATAATTAAAAATAATGTTCTGCTTGATAGACGGCACAAATTTTATCTTTTTTTTGAGCAGTATTGACATATACACTGGGTTGAATTCTCTGTGTCCCTATGAAATGGCTGAAGCAGAGTTCCTCGCATTTCTTATGACTATCTTTATCGGCTAAGTTAGATGTGACTTTGAGTCCAGCAGCATCTGGAGAGCCACTTTCCCATTCACTACTTTATTGTTGTTTAGTTTTCATTTTTCATCATTGTTAGCATAATTGTCATCATTGTTTTTTTTAATTTAAAATTAGCCAGAGCAGCAATAAAGCAGCAAAGCAATAATTGCATCCGGAAACAGTGTTAGTTCAACCACTTTCATCACAGGCTTTTATCCCAGTGACTTACATAGCCTGTGAATGACCATATTTCATCACATAATAGTTGCCATTACATAAAAGTTGCAACCCCTTTTTGGGGAAGGCAAAATTGGTATTTTGCCCTTTCCTGTGTAAAAGTTGCACCCTTAGTTCATTCCCCTGGGCGAATGAATTAAGAGTCCGATGGCTCTTTTGGCACTATGGGGCTTGACTTAGTTGGGAGCACAGTTGAGCCCCACAGTGCCAAGGAAAGAGGACAGGCAGGCCTACTTGTCCCCTCCAGCTACAGAGAAGCTTAGAAGGGAGTGGCTAGTGAGCACTTGTAGCTTAGAAGGGAGAGGTTGGGGGGGGGGGGTAGTTAACTTCTCCCCTCTGTGCTACATAGTTTCAGAGCTCAGAAGGGAGAGGCGGGCAGATGGGTAAACTTGCTCACCCATATGTCCTTCCTTGCAATTATTCTGTGCCCTCACATGGGGTTTTTCACTGTGTTATAGTCGCTGCCACATAATAGTCACATTCTCTCCCCCCCCCAAAAGGGGGGGGGGGATGTGACTATTATGCAATGAAATATGGTATAATCCCTTTGAGATGTTGCTTCTTCCAGTTTAGACCTTTTAGTGGTTGCACTTTGCCTACAACTCAAAGTTAAATGCTATGAGAAGACACAATTTTTCTGCCAATCTACATCTCCAGTAGTGTATAGCAGAAATGCAAGAATGCATAATGTAACATTGAGTGCTTTCCTCTTCCCTTGCCAACCCTTACTATTTTAGTTACCATTTCCAGAGATTGTGGGGATGTTAATGCCAAATAATATTTTTCAGTTAGATTAGGGTTTGGGAATGTGAGTCCTGTGTACTACATTTTTATGTATTTATTTATTTCATATACTTGTACCCTGCCCTTCTCCCCCCGAGGGGGGACTCATTGACCTTGGAACTCCTCTTTCCTTTGTTCTCGTCAAAATCACTACTTTTTTTAAAAAAAATAAAATAAAAAGACACCCTGCTTCCTTCCTTTTCAAACATGCTTAAAAGTTGACTCCAGTACTGCCCTCCCAACTCTAACCATAGATGGGAAATGCACTTTCAGTCAGTGCAAATAGGAGATGTAACCATTGCAGATTGAAATGGGGTGGCCTAGTTCTTTGGGATTGGGAGCAGGCCCACGCCTGAACGTTTACATCTTGCTATAATATGTAGTTTGAACTTTGGTAAAGCAATAGATTTTGTTAACCAGAATTTGTTGATATAAATGGTAAATTGGTTTAGAGGGACTTAGTGTAAGCATCTTTTTCTTATATTGCATCTTTTTGCATTGCAGTGTAAAATACCCAATGTAGCTCATCGTTCCTACTGCACTGTCTGCAAACTACCAAAAACTGGTGAGATTTCTTTTGTTACAATGTTCAGTTGGAATTTTATGCACAAGAAGTAGTGTGAATTGTAAATGAATTTTAAAAACGGGGTGCTTATATAGTATATATTCCAGTATAATTAGATAATGTACTGTGTTTTGCTGTGCTTTGCGGTAATGAGGAAAGCTCTTCCAAAATAGGAAAAGAATAGAGGTTGTAACATTTACTTTTGTGGGCTCCAACTCTCAGTCAATCTGTCCAATGGCCATATTGCTGACAGAGTGGAAATTGTCCCCAAAAGTAAAATTTTTAAGTTCTAAAAAATAGTATTCTTGGGCAGAGACTGTCCTTCAGTTTACTTGACCCTTTCACTTCTGGTAAAGGGTAAACAATTGTGTTGAAAAAACTTTTGATACTGTATTGATATGAGTAGTGTTGCCAAAGGGGTGGTGGTGGTGGTGGAAACACTGCAAAGAATGGTGGAAAGTAAATGATAAATATGTATAAGTAACCATCTCCAAATAAATAAGTAACCTGTGGCACTATTCAGTGTTTAGATGGAATCTCATATATAATTTCTGTGATCTAGCACTTTCCTCATTCATGTCAATGTAAAACTATTGTGTTCTTAGATGACAAGTCTGTTTTATAAAGAATGCAGCTAAATACACATCATCCAGGTCTATGACAGGATGGACTATTAAATGCTGGAATTGCTAATTTAATGTTATGTTTTTCTAGGAACTGAAGGAAAAATTTACAAGGAGAAAGAAAATGTACCTGAGAAACCAAAACCAGAGGAAGAGTCTCTTGAGGAGCCAAATCCCTCAAAGGAACCAGTTCTTCAGAAAGCTGCTCCTGAACAACTATTCCAGCCTCCATGCTCTGAACCCAAGAAGAAGGATGAAAACAGGGAGCAGTATCCTTCACAGGAAAGGAGAAAGGACTCTGAAATGTACCCACCTCGAAAAGAAAATCAAGACCACGGTTCAAGAAAGACCATGGAGACCAAGCATCAAGATGATGAGAGTAAAAGTAAGTGGATTATACTTCCTTTTCACATGGATCCTTGGACTTCAGTGACTTTTTAAAAATTACAGTGGCGGTCCAGCATTCTCTTTTCTGTTCATTAGTTATATCACTGAGTCGCCTTCATGTCATCCAGACCTATAAAAATTAAGTGTATCTATCCCCCTGAAGTAACCTATCTTTGTTTCCTTGTGGTATTTTTCACAGCCCTTATGTTGAAACGCATCCCTCGCTTCACTCCACCAGAAGTGATTGTGGGGCTTCTGGCACCCTATGTCCGCCTCTCTACGTCAAGTGTGCGGGTAATGAAGAACAAAACGGGTCGGATGGGCTACACCTACGGTTTCATTGAACTGGACTCACATGCTGTATGTTATCATTCTCCCCTTATCCACATCATCCTTCTGCACAGTGTGGTGTTAAATGTAATAGAATTTATGCCATTGGCTTATTATGTAATGGTCGTTATTTTGGTTTCTTTTGGTTTACCACTTTCAGTTCATTATTTTTAATTCTGCCTCAAAGGCTGAATGCTGTTCTCAGTTCTGATATTAGAACTTTTAATCATGTTTGATTCTTTTACCTTCCTTTTTCTAAAGCTAGCAAACAATGGCTTCTATGCCCATAGTATTGCCACATGGTATAGCATTATGACTATCAGCCTGTGTCAGCTTCAAGTTTGCACACTTTTAGCTGTAAGAATATTATTTCAGGTTTAACTGGAATTTAATTTTATGTCCAAAACCACCTATGCTCTGATTAGTCTTAACACTGTACTAAAATGAGCGAGCTTCATAAAGCACAATTTGAAGTTAATTGGTTTTAATCATTCAAAGGTTTTAGCCACTGCTTGTTTCATTTGGAAGTGGATGCCTGGCCATGAGTTTCCATTGCTGCTATGGTTATCCTCTGCCCAGCATAATAATGGTCATGGTGTTTAGATCTGAATTTGCATATCAGATAGTTGTTTGCCAAGTAGTGTATTCTGTTGTGATTTAAGGTTGTATAGATTGGCCATTCACACTAGAATTTTAACAAGGAAACACAATCCGAACCTGATGTGTCTGGCCACATGATTCTAGGATAATATTGGTGAACTTCGAGTGGCTGCCATTTTTGTTGTGAGCTGCCCTGAGTCCCCAGTGGGGAGATGGGATGGGATACAAATAAAGTTGTTGTTGTTGTTGTTGTTGTTGTTGACATATGTCATATTGAGGACACAACCCAATTCTTAACCATTTGAAATAGCTCAGGCACAACTCAAAATTGTAATAAGGTGTAATACTCCTATTCTAAAGAAACTCTGTGTGCCAGAAGGTAAGTGATCTCCAGAAATCTAAGCATGTGATTTCTTAGTGTATTTTACATTCTCTTACTCCATATATATTTCTTTTTCTGCTACCATAAATAGCTTGAATTTATTTTGGGAATAGGTTAAGTAACTGAGGTGGGCTTGTTAACATTAATATTTCTCCTCTAATTCTTTTTTACAACTTTATCCTGAACTGCTTCAGATAGTAAGGGCTCGGATATCAATGCAGTTGTTTTCAGAGGTGCTTAATGGCTCAGATAAAGGGTGTGTCTACACTCGAGTTAATGCAGTTTGACATCACTTATAGTGTCATGACTCAGTGCTGTGGAATTATGGGAGTTGTACTTTGGTGAAATACTAATATTATTTGGCAGAGAAGGCATGGGCAAACTTTTGACACTCCAGGTGTTCTGGACTTCAACTCCCAGAAATCCAAACCAACTTACCAGCTGTTAGGAATTGTGGGAGTTGAGGTCCAAATCACCTGGAAGGTTGACATTTGCCCATGCTTGCTATAGACCATGTAAAGCCACAACTCCCATTATTCCATAACATTTAAAATATTGACGATCAGCATTACTTCTGAGTTTGATGAACCCAAAGATGATAAAGCTCACTAGTTCTACTTGGAAAAGCAGTGGGAATTGCTTGGACTTGAGAAGTATGTGACACCTTGCTTCATGTATCAAATTTGTCTCCTTTTCGTCTTAAATTCTTCTCTTCTCAGGAGGCACACCGGTTAGTGAAGCTTTTACAAGATCTTGATCCCCCAATCAGTATTGATGGCCGTGCAGTGGATGTTAACCTAGCCACAGGAAAAAGGAGGTAATGGTTTCCTCTGTAAGCCATTTGCTTGTAAGAGTTCTGTGTTATGTTTTACAGGATATATCTACATATGCAGATGAATGAGATTTGAGGCACTTCATTTTTGACAAAAATGGTGATAGGGCTGTATGAAGCTGCATCACCTTGATAGTTATCTGCAATACTGAATTCAGTCTATAGTTCTTTCTTTCACATTCTAATTGCTTATGAGATCTTGCCCCCAATTTGTTTTTGGTGCCTACATTTAATCAACACAGACAGCAGCAGAGTGGATAGCAAATAAGCTACAAAGGTAATTGTAGTATCATGTTTTCCATAGAAGAGCAGTGTCTTTACGCTTTCCAACAGGAGCTCTACAGATTTTGGAATTTTCTTTGTCTTCTGGTTAAGAATATCCTACTATTGTATTTTTATTCAGTTTCTTGATGGCCAGTTGACCTAGTACTATTATGAAATAAAATGAATGCTTGCCATATTTGCAATACATTCATAACCTTTTATTAACTCATTATTAACTGTGATTAACTCTTATTAATTCAGGTCTTATTCTCTTTCTAGAAATGAATATGGAGACCAGGGAGACCGCTTTGGCCAGGTACACTTGTAGTGTAATCTGTGATGACACTCAAGGTAGTTAGCAATTTTCTTTCAGCTATGCTGAGATTGAACAAGATAATAGTTATACATTTTTGCTGGCATTCTTAAACATTGTACAAAAGTAGCTGAATTCTGAGTTCTGTTTTCCTTCTGTTGATGTGGCTGCAGAGTGTAAACAGAAAAAAATTCAAACATGATAGGATAATATCATTTGGAAAATCCTATTGAAGCCATAGCAGGTAGTGGTGAAGTTTGCATTATTACTGAATTAATATTTATTTTAAATCTCTGTATGTGGTGATTTCATAATTCTTTCCAACTTATTTTGCATTCAAAGTGTAAAGAATAAACATGTGTGTGCGCTTAGGCTCATGGGCATAAAGTCTCCAGTAAAAAACTGGAGGAGAGCGGCATTGGGAAACAAAACAATGCCAAAACAGAAAAATGTGTCCCTTAATATATGAACTGTCAAGCTGCCCTTCCTTCCCATATCTAAACAAGACCTCTTCATAACAGTTAATCTATCTTGCTTGGAGGAGAGGTCCCACTCTTCCATATGAGCTGTAAAATGGTATTCCTGTCATACATATTTGGCCTGAATTAGAACCGTTTGGTGTAAATGCATGAGTATCTGCTGGCTTTGTGCCTGAAGCTCACATAAGCATGTTTGCACTCTGTACATGGTATGTTAGTGCCATATGAATTAGCTTGGAATGCTTGTGGTATGGAAATGTTCAGCAGATATTGTGTCTCCAAGCTTGTATTTTCAAATGTGCTTGTATTTTAGGGCAGACGGGACAGAAATGACAGGAGAGGCTCTGACTCACAGAAACGGCGATCAGATTGTAAGACACAATTATTCTTTGCTCTTTGTAGTTACTAATGATGATCAGTCACTATTCTATTTAAAATATGTCTTGCATAGAATTATTGATGATTTGAATCAAAACAAAAAGCTCACAAACATACCTTGATTTTAAAATGGCTGAGCCTTAAAACAATTAGAGAAGTTCAAGCTAGGCTTAGTTTAAGATGTCTGTCTTCTGTGAGAAAGCAAATGATCTTTCTCTTTACTTATTTCTCTTTAGCGTCTTCGGATGTGTCTACATTCATTTATGACCCAGACACTGGAAACTATTTTGATCCCATATCAGGGGTGTATTATGACCCCAATACTCAGGTAAGAGTATGTGCATTTGTCCTCATGTTGCCTTTTGTTTACCAGGAAATATTTATCTGGATATGTTTACTGAATGTCTCCATCCAGAGAGAAATACCAATGGGCCGAGAAGCATCTGCATCACCACCACCTCCACGTAGTGGAAGGAGACGTAGGAGCAAGGAAAGGTCAAATGAAAGAGAGGAAACCTACAGCAGAGATAACAGAGAGAGAAGAGAGAGACACCGAAATAAAACAGCCAAGGTATAAATCTGTGTCATAAAATCCTGTTATGAATCTCATGACCTACAGAGACTGAACTTATTGAGAGAACTGAGAAAGCATGCTAATTTAGCTAAAGTCGGTCTGTGAAACTCGATAAGTTGAACAATTTTCAAGAAATGCATTGGGTAGTATCATGCCTTTGTAAAGACTCTCGTCGTTTAAGCCCTTTTCATTAGAGGGGATTAGCATTTCATGTAGGTGAAGAGGGAGGGAGGCCAGAAAGGTCTACAAAATAGCACGTCCAGATTAAGTGATGTTGGAGCCAAGTCAGAGACATTTCAAGTTAAAGTAAAAGTTAGTTCAGATCAAGCATTGTTCCAAAAACAGACAGATACTAACAAGAGAAGAAACAACAGAGAAGTTCAGTAATTCAGAGCCTCTCTCTCAAGGACTTTAACACCCTTACAAGGACTGTGCCAGTTAGACCCAGGAGGAGAAAGGAGTTGCAGCCTTTTTATAACAACAACAACAACAACACTTTATTTGTATTCCGCCCTTCTCACCCCAAAGGGGACTCAGGGCGGATCACAGTACATATACATGGCGAACATACAATGCTGCTTGTATAGACAATACACAGACAGAACAGAAGGAGGTGGTTTGTTTCAGCTGTTTTTGGTGGCATGGAAGGTTGGGCTTGAGTCCAGGGGGTGCTGTTGCTCTATCCTCTATGACGAAGAGCCGTCAGGACTTCCTCCTTACTTTTGGTTGGCCAGCATTTTCTGATCTTCTTTCTTTTATGGTGTCATAAAACACCTCCCCCACTTTTAGCGGTACCTAATTTTTCTAATCACAGCTAAAGCTGTTTTCAAATTGCTTAAGTGAACAATGAGCTAGGCTGACAGTTGGCAGCTCACGCCAACCCGGGGCTTCGAACTTGCAAACTTTTGGTTGATAGATCTTATAATTGCTGATAATTTACCAGCTGTATTAAGTTACTAAATTTTGTTAACTATTTATCTAAATCAGTTTACCTTCCAAGCAGTTAGATAGCTTGGAAGCAGAACAGTTAGGGCTTTTCTGAAACCATAAAAAATCCAGTTTCCAGTTATAATAATTCTGAGACACTTACTTAAACTTGCAGGCTACTGTCTGAAATGACTCACACTCTGGTTTTCCTGTTAAACAGCCTGGATATATTGCAGAATTATCTTGTTTCATCTCTTTTGGAAATGTAAACAGGCCACGACATCTAAAAATGTTTATATGCATCTGCAATAATGTGATTATAAAAATAGAGTTGCAATCGGACAATATTTAAGTAATCCAACTCTTATTTTTAAAATCTGATGAATCTCATCACATTCTAAGAGCTACTGAACACATAGATACATTGCACTTCCCCTTGTTTTAAAGGATGTTATTTTCCTCAGTACGACATGAAAACACTGAATAAATTATAGGGTGGAAACCAGTTTAGAAGAAAATCTTAAAGTGTGGCATTTTGAAATATTTTTTCCAGCACCGGAATGTGTAAGTGAATAGGTCATAACACTGGATTTGAGCACCTCTTTGATGTTTTGGGAGTCTGGTTACTTAGCCACTACACAGTCACATCCATATATCTCTCTAATCTTCATCACAGCTTGCCATTTTGAGAGTAAAAGGTGTAAAGTGGACACTGAGAAGGGAGAGGAAAAGGGAATGATAAAGAATAACTGAGTTGTAAAGCATTGTGGGTAGTTGCTAAGATTTGATTTTCATTCTTGTTTTTTTCAGAATGAGCCCCAAGAGGAGAGGCTTCCTGCAGAAGATGTCTTTAAAAAGCCACTGCCTCCAACACTGAAGAAAGAAGAGACCACACCTCCAGTAAGAAAACCTTATTTGGCATTTATTTACTAGAGTGTTTTCTTCCGCAGGTTAAGGGTTTTCCCCCCAGTAATCTTAACCATGCTGAAGCATATCTAGTGTGAACAACAGTAATGAATAACAATTCAGAGCTGAGCATGTAAGAGAAAATATGATCTGAGAACTGTACTGAACAACACTGGGTGGTTTATAGCTTAAACCATCCTTGAGTGGCTTCTAAGGATTCCTCCATAAACTACATCATATCTTCAGGTTAACTAAAAAGCTTTCATGATTACATGCAAGTTGTACTCCTTTTTCTGTTTTCAGCAGCCAAAGGTAGTGAATCCTCTCATAGAACTCCTAGGGGAGTATGGTGGCGACAGTGACAATGAAGAGGAGGAGGAGGAAGAGGAGGCAGAAGAGCAAATACAGGCACAGCCACAGCCTCAGCCTCAGCCACACACCCCACGCCTGCCAGTGCAACAAGAGGAACGGACTCAAAGGGCTGAAAATGACGAAGATAAGCTGACTGACTGGAATAAGTTAGCTTGTTTGCTGTGTCGGAGGCAGTTTCCAAATAAGGAAGTGCTAATGAAGCATCAACAGCTTTCTAATCTTCACAAAGTAAGAAGGGGAACCATCCAGGGAAAGTCTGCTTAATTAATCTCTTGACTGGTAGGAATATTAGAAATAACATGAGAAATGAGAAAGTTCCACGGCAAGGTGTTCCTCAGATCTGGGCCTTGAGCCATGTTACTCACAGATAGTGGACACAGCATACAAAGGTACCTGTTGACATGAATTGCAGAATGATAGCATTACACATTTTCCATAATACAATCTTCACTTATCCTCTTATTTGAGAGCTTAGATGAAAATTTAAGACTGTAAGGGGAGTCTCATCTATGTTAGTGAGTAATTTCAGATTTTTTTTCCTTGTAATTGTAACAATCCAGTGGTTTATGCCAAAACTACAATGCTAGTTAATAAGTCTCGTTAAATGCTGAAAATTCTTAAAAATATTTCAGGCTCATTATTTCAAGACAGCCTACTTTTTCTGCATCCATGTTCTAGGAGAAGGACAGTCTATAAGTAAATTAAATACTTGTTTTTCTTTTTCAATTTTTTTTTAAAATTAACTCTTTTTTTGCAGTAAAATCTTAGGGAATGGTGAGATGCAAACAAGGGCCTCTGTTGATTATCTTAGATTTCAGATAGGATTTCCTGGAAGTATTCCGTCTTCATATATTCAGGGATCCCAAGTGTTTGGTCTTTATAGGTCGTGAACAAAGACTTTAGTTGGGCTTGGGAGCAAATTAAAATACAGGGAAGTTCTGGTTAGATTAGTGTTATGTGGGATTTAAAATCAACACCTGGTGACAACAATATTGCTGCCTGTTTTGCACTAAGTGTAGCACATGAACACTTTTCAAGGACAACCCATGTACAGTGTGACTAAAATGTGCTATATTGTAGCAGATTTTTGTTTTGCTTTATCAGGTGTTATTTCTGGTCACAATTAAAGAAATAAACAGAAAACACCTTGTTGAAGGAATCATGGAGATATATAATTTCTGCTTTTCTTACCAATGTAAACTTTTGCAGAAAGGGTAATTTAAAAAATACTCAGGAGAGAATGGTGCATGTGAGCTTATCCTACTTTGTTAAAACACAGTGTGGCTATGATGTACGTTTTTGGATCATGTGATCTTAATATTTTTTATTTATGTCTTATTTTAATGGTTTTAATGGTTTTAACTCATGTAGCAATAATATGTAGCAATTAGTATTATGAATTCTTTGTTTTGAATTTTTGTCATTAGTATGTTGTAAACTGCCTTGAGTCCCTCCCCCCCTCCCCCGGGGCAAGAAGGCAGTGTATAAATACAGTAAATTAACTAATTAATTAATTAATTAATTAAAACAAAGACTCAAAAACAGAATTCAACTAATATCATCAAAATATTTCCAGTGGAAATAACAAGTTAATAAATATTGGAAGTATAAAGTCACATGTCTGCAACACAGTAAGATGTATTAAATGCTTTTTGAACAAACCAGAATTTTGCCTGACATTAAAAGAGGACACTCACATGTTTAGTCTCTCTAGGGATTGCATGCATTTATTTCAGAAATTCTATTTCTAGTGGAAGTGTACCAAGCTTGTAATGTGTAGTGAGTTTTTCAATGTTAGAAGATTTTTTTTTCATTTAAAATATTGCGGCAACTCAAAAGTGATTTGTTTGTTTTACTTAATTCTTACAGCAAAACTTAGAAATACATCGGAAGATAAAACGATCAGAGCAAGAGCTGGCATATTTGGAAAGGCGAGAGCGAGAGGTGACTGGGGATTGGGTGCCTGCTTTTTATGGTTCTGGATTGTTGGGGCATTGCTGAAAGAGAGGTCTTGATATGTAAACAAAACAACAGTTTGTTGTGAATATTTAGCTTGAGTAATCTTTCTTTGTTGTATGGAAAGACTCCTCAAAGGCCATCATACAACAATGTAGGGCTTAAGCTTTCTTCTAGAATTGCAACAGATAGAATTCCCTATCTCTCTGATAGGGAAATACGATAGGGAAGAAAGATGAAGCTGATAAAAGATGTGGTTCTGACTACACAATTCAAACTCAGAAGAGAAGACTGTATTTCAGAATTCACCACTATATTGAGAGCCGAAGCTCAGACCCTATTGCCTTATTATACTTAACATCTTTCAAACAGGACCCCAAATATATTATAAGTTAGTGAGATGCTTTCACTTCATTGCTGATGGAAGATTACACTGTGTACTCAAGTATAAGTCTAGAAGATTTCATTAAAAAAAATAACCTTAAGAAGCTCTACTTTCTCCACTGCAATGCCACCTCTGCCCTTATTGAATGCTTGGGCAAGGAAAAGGTGGCAGCAGCAGCCAAGGGTGGCTGGTCCCCTGAGATAGCATTGGTGCTGTTCCCTCCATGAAATGAACCTGAAATTATCCATGGGATATATTAAAATTGATAAGTTTGGCCCCAAAACCTGCCCTCAACTTATACATGAGGTTGACTATACATGAGTATATATTATAAATGACAAAGTGTTCTGCTTGGAAGCCCTTGATACTAAATTATTAATTATTTAAATTAAGTTTTGGGGTCCATAGCAGGGTGTGTGTGTGGAGGTTTAGAGATACCATCTTTACTAACTGCTTTCTAATAATAAAGGGAAAGTTTAAAGAAAAGGGAAGTGACAGAAGAGAGAAATTTGAGGAACGGGATTCACCAGAGAGAAAGCGGCCAAGGCCCTTCAAGAATTCTGATAGGTAATGGCATCAAAGAAAGTGTCCAAAGTACTTATTGTGATTTCTGTAAATAAGAAATGAAGCAGATTTGTTTGTGTTATGCATGCTTTTTAAAAACTATGTATATAATGCTTTACATCAAAAACGTTAGGCGTGCCTTGCAGAATTTGGGGTGGGGTAGGGTGGAAAATGGAGTGTGGCTCACAGATCTTCTGTAGTTGGTCACACCTCCTTTAGAACAATCAGACCACTTTGCATATATTTTTGTAAGGTTTACAGCATTGTACAATGGGTCCTTGCTTCCAGAATCCCCCATGGATAGCAAAATCCCAGAATGCTCAAGTCCTATTATATGCAGTGGCATAGTAAAATTGAGTTTTTCCTATACGACAGCAGAATCTTAGGTTTTCCTTCCCTTTCGGCTAAGAGAGAATATAAGTGAGGGGGATTCATGCAGTGTTATTTGTAACATTGCATTAGGTTTCATTTTTTAAGTTTTCCCTATTTATAAAGTTATATACAAATATCAAAACATGATCTTCACATACATCTGATACATTGGAAAGATACAGTTTATAGGAATGTATATTGAAGCCCAAATTTCCGTTTTGTCTGTGAAATGGGTTGCTGCTTATATGGTTAGTATTCAGCTCTCCGTGTTATTAAGAATCCTTCCATGTTAATATTTCTTACATTTGTTTACAGTGGTTATAAACCCACTGGAAAAACGGAGAACAATAACAAAGGAAGCCGTATGATGCAGGCCATGGGCTGGAAAGAAGGCTCGGGTTTGGGGCGCAACGAACAAGGAATGACTTCACCAGTGGAGGTATAACTCCTGTCCTTTACAAAGGCAGCTGTTTTTGAATGGGCCCACAACCAGTATGTCTGCATGAACCTACATTTTGTCTGAGACATTTATCAATAGAACTGTGCCCTTGTGAAAAATTCTGGCTTTCTGTGGCTCTTAAATCACTAGAATTAGTGGAATGAAGCAAGGAAAGTGTGCTCTTCTATATTTTGAAGGAGGGTTTGTTTCTGGATATGTTGGAATGTTAAACCACAAGAGTCTTTTTCATCTTGACGAAGTCTCCATCTGAAACTGAATTTAGTTAAATATTCAGTTGTAGTGTCTTTGATGGGGAGCAAAGTAACCGGTTAGAGAACCATGCTCAAATAATTGTCATCACTGGCTGTACTGGGTTCTTATCTAGAGTGATTAATTTTCAACATTTTTATCAACAACTTGGACGACAGGATAGAAAAATGCCTTATCAAGTTTTCAGATTATACAAAACTGGGAAAGGTGGCTAACACACTGGAAGAGAGGAAGAGAAGACAGGGGGACCTAGATAAACAGAAAAACCTAATAAAACAGATAAAATGGGTTTTAATAAATTAAAATAGAGACAAATGTAAAGGGGCATACATGGCTCAGCAGTATTAATGGATTATTGATCATACATTTTAGTGTGAATTGAAGGAAGTGTTGTTTCCAAGTCAAGGGAAGCAATAGTCCCACTATATTCGGTTTTGGTTACACTTCATCTGGATTACTGCATTCATTTCTGAGTTTCACATTTTAAGAACGATATAAACAAATTGGAGCAGATTCACAGAAGGACAACGAGATAAGAGGTACGAAGGGCAAAACAAAGGGTTTGAAAGGAGCTAGGCATTTTCAACCTAGTAAAGAGAAGACTGGAGCAGTGGCATGATTGCTCTCCTTAAATACCTTAAGGTTGATCATAGAGAGGAGGAGGCAAGCTTGTTCTCTGCTGCCCCAGAGGATAGCAGCAGGTTTAATGGCTCCAAGTTACAGGAGAGTAGGTTTCAACCGAACATTAGAACAAACTTATTGATAGTAAGAGTGGTTTGCCAGTGGAATAACTGAAGAGTTGGTGGGATCCCTTTCTCTGGATGTCTTGAGAGTCAGGAAGCTCCCGGCTGGGATGCTTTAGCTGGAGATTCTGCATTGACCAGGAGCTTGGACTAGATGGTTCATTTGGGTCCTTGCGAGCTCTCCCAATTTGACAGCAACAATGTTGATAATCCTGTGTCACACCACTTTTCCAGCTACTATTAAAATACCCCAGGTTCTCTTCTCATTCTCGCTTTCTCCCTTGCTGCAAATTGAGCTTAAAGGACATAGTTTTTACTCATCTTGACTTTGCACATGGAAGAAGAGAGGAAGAGGAAGAATCTTGCCCTTCCTGGTAAACTCGGGCCAGAACAAACTGTAGCCTCCTTGTTTTTGTGCCACATGAATAACTTTTGCCATCTTGGATACACTCTGATGTTGCTTTGCCACATGTCATTGGGTTTGCCTGTGAAATGCGGGAGGATATTAAAACATGTCAAACCTGTTGTCATGGCTTCATGTCTTGACAAGATGTTGAGCATTATAGTGGATATGCTTTTCATCTTATATGGATTTTCTCCCTGTGCTTCCAAATTTGAAAGACATCTGAAGGATCCGATTTGTTGAGGAAAGAGAAGCAGTTTTTTTTTTAAAAAAAAATAAAAATGTGGCTCTGGCTGGGCACTATTGGGGCACATTATATAGTGGGGTTGGGATTGGGATTCAGAAAGAAAACCCCCCAAAGTGAACTTAGTATACCATTTTTTTTACAGCTGTAAACACTTAACACAGTGTCAGATAAAAGCAGTTGGTTTTGAAAGATTTATCAATGTTGTATCCCTCCTATTCAAAGAAAGATTCTTAAGTTCTAACAATATTCTAGCCAAAATATATTTTCCTTACATATGTGCGGAGTGTCTTTGACTGGCAAAGAAATGTAAAGTTGGTGAAATGCTCTATGTGGAAATACTTGTGTGTGTACTACTTTTCAAAATATTGCCCAATTTTATTCCAGCCAGAAAATCGGAAGCGGGGCGCTGGCCTAGGGACCCAAGGGAGGGCCAACAGAAGGCAGTCAAATGAAACATACCGGGACGCCGTGCGGAGAGTCATGTTTGCTCGCTACAAAGAACTTGAATAAACGTGGAACAGATCCTTACTGCAACCAACACACCCTGTACCCTCTGGCCCATCTTTGTGTCTGTTGTTTTTTGAATCGGTGTTCTTTTGCTGCTGAAGTGTGTTTTTGTTTGTTTTTGGAATAAAAAAATGAAAGATATCTGGTCTTTTTTCACTCTTCCTTGATTTTTATTTATTATTATTTATATTTATTATTTATTTACAACCTTTATATGTCACCCTTCTCACCCCAAAGGGGACTCAGAGTGGCTTACAAGTAAAAAGTAAATACAATATATTATATTATTATCATAGCACTATATTATTATTATATATTACATTGTACTATAACATTATACCGTAATATTATTAGTAATTTTACATTTAATATAAAATATATAATTATAATATCATTTTATTAGTCATAGTAGTATATTGTATTACATTATAATATTATCAATATTATATGTATATACAAAATATATTACATTACATTATATTATAAGCACAGTGCAGGAGACAAGATGGAACTGCCTTCCTGGCCCCTCTCTTTTTGAGCTAAATAATCAATAGGAATATTCCAAAGTTTCTATTTAATTCCTATAAATACTGACTATATCATCTATCTATCTATCTATCTATCTATCTATCTATCTATCTATCTATCTATCTATCTATCTATCTATCTATCTATATTCTTTCTCTATAGCAGGCATGGTCAAACATCAGCCCTCCAGGTATTTTGGGACATAGAATCATAGAATTGGAAGAGACCTCTTGGGCCATTCAGTTCAACCCCCTGCCAAGAAGCAGGAAAATTGCATTCAAAGCACTCTTGACAGATGGCCATCCAGCCTCTGTTTAAAAGCCTCCAAAGAAAGGAGCCTCCACCACACTCCGAGGCAGAGAGTTCCACAGCTGAAACTAGCACCTTTTGAGCCTGGAGTTGAGAGAAAGATTGGTTGTGACTAAGTGAAGTGGCCTTCGATATCACTGATCAAGAAATGGTGTGTAAGGGAGGAAGAAAGGAGAAAAGTTAAGAGGGAGGGAAGAAAAAGGAAACAAAGGAAGGGACAAGATAGGGAAGAGAAAGGGAGGGAAAAGATATAAGAAAAGGAAAAAGAAAGGGAAGGAAGAAAATTGCCAGATTGTTGCCATGGAGACAATGGGTGGTAGGTCTTCTCAATGCTGGGGAACGCAGAAAGCAAAGCGGTTAGTAATAGTGTTTTTTTAAATTAAAATAATTCTTATCTGTCCCCATGGAGGAGCATAAGTACAACAGATCAAAAAATAACACATTTGAAAACGTTACATCAATTGGAAACACGTAACATCAATGTAAAATGCAGTGGGACTGGCTAAAGTTGTGGTTTATGAGTGAGTAAATGAATTTGATGTATTGTCGAAGGCTTTCATGGCTGGAATCACTAGGTTCTTCTGGGTTTTTTTTTGGACTATAGGGCCATGTTCTAGAGGCATTTCTCCTGACGTTTCGCCTGCATCTATGGCAAGCATCCTCAGAGGTAAATGAATTTGCATAGGAAACACATTTTAAAGGAAACTTGAAATGCAACTGCTTGGGCTTTAAAATATAAAAAGCAATTAAGAGACAAAACTCCATGAGCGCATAGGGCTGTTAGGAATGGTGGGAATTGAAGTCCAAAACACCCGGAGGGCCGCAGTTGGCCCATGCCTGCTAAAGGTGGTCTAAGAAACAGTCTTGGGCACTCCCATGGTGGGAAAGTGGATTGATGATACAATCCACAAAAAAACTATGGGATTTTTGGCCTGCATCAATAGGAGTCTAGTGTCTAGATCCAGGGAAGACATGCTACCCCTCTATTCTGCCTTGGTTAGACCACACCTGGAAGACTGTCCAATTCTGGGCACCACAATGGAAGAGAGATATTGACAAGCTGGAATGTGTCCAGAGGAGGGTGACTAAAATGATCAAGGGTCTGGTGAACAAGCCCTATGAGGAGCGGCTTAAAGAGCTGGGCATGCTTAGCCTGAAGAAGAGAAGGCTAAGAGGAGACACGATGAGGGCCATGTGAGAAGAAGTCACAGGGAGGAGGGAGCAAGCTTGTTTTCTGCTGCCCTGGAGACTAGGACGCGGAACTGCAGGAAAGGAGATTCCATCTGAACATGAGGAAGAACTTCCTAACTGAGAGCTGTTCAGCAGTGGAACTCTCTGCCCCGGAGTATGGTGGAGGCTTCTTCTTTGGAGTCTTTTAAACAAAGGCTGGATGGTCATCTGTCGGGGGTGCTTTGAACGCAATATTCCTGCTTCTTGGCAGAGTGTTGGACTGGATGGCCCAGGAGGTCTCTTCCAACTCTTTGATTCTATATACCGTGTTGCTGGCCCCAGCGGCGACCTCACCTGGGCCTTTCCTGACGGGCGGAGCGGCTCCCCGCCTCCTTCCTCTTCCGCCCGCCATTTTGAGAGGGAGGGGAGGCCGCTCCATTTTAGGCGAGGGCGTTGCTCCGCCCTCCATCCATTTCATCAAACTTTCGATCACCGAGTAAACAAAATGGAAGGGGAACGGTGCCCTCCGAGCCTCAGCGACAAACGACTCGGGAGAAAAGGCCGAGAGGAAGGCCCGTCCCCCCCCCTCTCTTTCTCTCTCGCGAGGGAAGCCTATGGGGGCTTCTACACTGTGGGATGGATGGATGGAGTTTGACACCCCTTTTGACTGCCTCGGCTCAATGCTATGGAATCCTGGGAGCTGTAATTTGGTGATGCGGAGGGCCCTTGCGCACAGCGCTATATCCAAAAATATCAAGGCAGGAAATCCCTGATTACACGAGGGTCCTTCTACACAGCCATATAACCCAGAACATCAAGGCAGGAAATCCCACAATATCTGCTTTGAACTGGGTTATAGAATTATACATAGAATCATAAGAGTTGGAAGAGACCTCATGGGCCATCCAGTCCAACCCCCTGCCAAGAAGCAGGAATATTGCATTCAAAGCACCCCCGACAGATGGCCACCCAGCCTCTGTTTAAAAGCCTCCAAAGGAGGAGCCTCCACCACACTCCGGGGCAGAGTTCCACTGCTGAACAGCTCTCACAGTTAGGAAGTTCTTCCTCATGTTCAGGTGGAATCTCCTTTCTTGTAGTTTGAAGCCATTGTTCTGTGTCCAACTCTCCAGGGCAGCAGAAAACAAGCTTATCTGAGTCCACACTGTTCAAAGCAGGTAATGTGGGGTTTTATTCAGCTGTGTGGAAGGGGCCTCAGTGTGGACTCAGATAACCCAGTTCAATGCAGATATTGTGGGATGTTCTGCCTTGATATTCTGGGTTATAGGGCTGTGTGGTAGGGCCCAGAGAAGGCTCTAAACCTGGTAAAACTACAGCTCCCAGGATTCCATAGCATTGAGCCGTGGCAAAGTGGTCTCAAAGTGCGTCCATTCAACAGTGCAGACGCAGCCTGTGGGGCTCAGTGCGGAGTAGACACAGGATTTCGAGCCTCGTCTTTATTTTTTTATTTATGGCTGATTCCAGAATATGTGGGAAACTCATTAAATGGCTCTTGCAGCACACGGCCCTTCCACGGAGCCATATAACCCAGAATATCAAGGCAGGGAATCCCAGTCTCTGCTTTGAACTGGAATATATGGCAGTATGGATTCAGTTCAAAGCAGATCATGTGGGATTTCATTCAGCTGTGTGGAAGGGGCCAGAGTATTTGTGATCCCCTCTCCCTCCCTCAAATGTCTATCGCAGCGTCAAAAAAGGGCAAAGGGAAAATGAGGGAGAAATGCGTGTCTTGTTCTCTTTGCCCTTCATGAGAGGGCGACTACAATGATCAAGAGTCTGGAGAACAAGCCCTATGAGGAGCGCCTTAAAGAGCTGGAGCGCCTTAAAGAGCTCTTGAAGGAGAGAAGGCTGACAGGAGACATGATGAGGGCCATGGATAAATATGTGAGAGGAAGTTAGGGAGGCGGGAGCAAGCTTGTTTTCTGCTTCCCTGGAGACTAGGAATAGGCTTCAAACTACAGGAAAGGAGATTCCATCTGAGTATTAGGAAGAACTTCTTGACTGTGAGAGCCGTTCAGCCGTGGAACTCTCTGCCCTGGAGTGTGGTGGAGGCTCCTTTGAAGGCGTTTAAGCAGAGGCTGGATGGGCACCTGTCGCGAGTGCTTTGAATGCGATTTGCCTGCTTCTTGGCCGAATGGGGTTGAACTAGATGGCCCATGAGGTCTCTTCCAACTCTATGATTCCTCTCCCCACTTAATATGCGATTCTGAAATCCACCCGTTTCATGAAATGGCCGTGGGATTGCCAGCGAGGGGAAGCCCTCAAGATGGTGGTCCGCCCAGCAAGGCCTCTCCAACGGACCTGTTCTCACAAAGGCCTCGCAGTTGGTGAAAGGTAGAGAGACCTTGCTCATTAATCACAACGGTGGTAATAATAGTGGTAATAAGTAGCGGGTTTCTACACGAGAAAATGGTCCTGTTCGATGTACTTTGCGTTGTGAGAACATTCAAAGTGAGTGCGAGGTGCGGCGTGGGGGCTCTGCCTTTGGGAACGAGGGTTAGAGCCTCTCAGCCTCGAGCAAGTCTCAGAGGAAGGCGACGCTGTGCTCCTCCGAATAACATCATTCGGGAACGGCTCGAAGGCGCACAACAATGACCTATTCTCCCCTCCGTTTGCCATAAAAACTACGCCTCCCAGCATGCAGCGCGACGCTGACGTACGACGCTGACGAGAACGGGGGCTTGTTGCTTGGCTGGAAGCTTCTAGGAGGGCGGGGCGGAGGCGTGCTCGCCTGCGCGTGCAAGTGGCCGCGCTGAGGATTGTGGGTAGAAGACAGCCAGCTCTCTCCCGGCGCCATTTTGTGGCGGGTGAGAGAAGCCGTGGCGGTTGTCGCTGCATCTGCTGCGGTGAGAGCAGGAGGGCCCTTTCCCCCTCGCGGTAAGGATTAGCCCCCAGCTTTGCCTCACAGAGAACATGGTTTAAGTTAGGTCACGGAAGGGGAGTCATTTGTCTGGTCGCTTTGACAAATTGAGTTTCATATTTGGCCCTTTCCAGAAAGTGTGTGTGTTGTGGGGCCCTCTCTTGGAAAGGTAGCCGCCCCTTGTCTGCTGAGAGGGGGAGGGAGGGGCTTCCCCATCATTTCTGTTTTGTCTTTCTGCGTCGCCTCAGATTTAGACGCATCAACCGCTGTCTTAGGCTCTTCATTTTGTAGTTGTCGCAGCGACAACGCTTCGATCGCATGTTGGGTGGTTGCGGGTGCGGCTGATGGCATTGTCCCCGCCTCCGCTGCGGAGCCTCGGCCGCCATTACGCGCCCCTCTCCCGACTGCCGTTGTCCTTGGTGCATTTCTATCTAGCTCCCCGGCGAGGACATTGACCTGGGTTGCGTTACATACAGAAGACGCTGCCACCATAGTCACCCAGCTTGTTTTTCTTGATACGTACATAGAAAGGTGATTCTACGCAAGTTGAATACGGTGCTCGGTTTAGAGATAACGGATTGCTTTATTTTTTCCTGTATAAATGTTATTACATCGTTATGCTAGGTTTCTGTATGTGAGACATTCAATTTTGCCATAATTACGTTGGAAACAGCTTTGAGACCCCCGCTGGGGTGAGAAAAGCGGTATACAAGTGAAGTAAATAAAATATTAAAATAAATAGTAAATAAAGCAATCGGTTACCGCAAAACCTAGCACCATAGGTTTTGAGATAATCTACTTGGAACCTTATAAGTATTTAAGTCACTGGACTTTTTTCTGACTTCTAGATTCACACTTTGGTATACTTGAAAAAGAACTGAAGAGGAGCCATGGGTTCAGACAAACGGTATGTATTGTCAAAGGTGTGGGTGTGTTATGTCATAGTGGCTGCGGCTCTGGAAATATATGCTCAAGACGGGGTGGGTTTGTTATGAACACTTGTCTGTGCTAAAGAGGGTCTTGGAAACCTGAAGAAGATGGCAGAAACCCACCGCTTTAGAAAGATGGCTGAAGGGAAGTGACTTAATGCCTCCTTTCTTGATGAGCTGCAGATATGGCACTAAAGGGAAAGTTAGAGCCCCCAGTGGTGCAATGGGTTAAACTCTTGTGCCAGCAGGACTGCAGACCTTTCCTGCCAGAAAGGTTGGCGGTTTGAATCCGGAGAGTGAGATGAATTCCCGTTTGTCAACTCGTTTCCCCTGTGTGGGCATGAGAAGCCTCTCACAGGATGGTAAAACATCAAGGCGTTTCCTTGCAGATGGCGAATTCTCTCACACCAGAAGTGACTTGCAATTTCTCTAGTCGTTCCTGACATGGGGGAAAATGGGTTTGATGGGCCAAAAAAGTAAAGTATTTTAAGCAGTCTGTTAAGTAAATAAAATTGGTTTATAAAATAGTTGGGCTACAAAACACTCATCTTTACAACAAAAAAAGAATTGTGTGTTTTAAATTTTTTAATTGTATGTGGTCTGTTGTAAAGATTATTTGTGCAAAAGAGGGTTTCAGAAACCTAAGATGCCAGAACCCCCCCCCCCCCCTTTAGGAAATTGGCTGAAGGAAAATGGTTTAATGCCTGTAAGGGTCTCCTTTCTTGGGGAGGAGGAACCTTATACGTGAAGAAACCTTTTGCTTTTGCATGGTCACTTGGAGCTGCAGAGATGGCACTAAAGGGTGGAGCTAAGGTTTTGATGGGATGATGGAATAAAAATATTTTATATTTTAAATGGCCAGTTAAATAAAATTAGTTTATAAAATAGTTGAGCTATAAGACACATTCATCATTGAAACAAAAAAATGTGTTTTTTAAAAATTTGTAATCATATATGCCATGAATTAAACAAAGAAAGGACAGTACAGATAATTAAGAGTCAATCAAATCTACAAATAGAGGGAAAACGAACAGTTCACCATTTACAAATAGCTTACGGCTATTATGGTTACAGAAGTGAATTATGAACATACCATGTTTGATCATTCCAGCCATTTCTGAAAAGTATTTATTGTTTTTTGCAAAACACATCATTATTACTAACATCATTGCTTCACCTCAATCCTTCCAGTTTTAAGGAAACAAGTATTACTCTTTTGAAAAAAATACTGCATTTTTGTAGCTGTTAGAAATTAATAATCTTACTAATATTTGTTATCCATTCCACAGTGCAGTCTTATACTATGGATTGAATGGGCTTACTGTTTAATACATTCAGGATTGCAGTCTTGAAAGCTCAAATTCTTAGAGGATTTTATCCATTGTGATTTGTTCAGTGTAAAACCAATCAGGTGCATGTGGTCTTGCATGGGATCTGAAGTTTATGTCAGTCAAATGATAGATTAACATTCACTTTTGAGCAGTTAAATATTACTGGTGTAATTTCATTTTTATATTTATTGCATTTAAAATTAAAATGCCACCAGCCTTGTTTTCCAGCTAGAGTGTACCCATGCAAGCGATTTTTAAAAATGAACAGGAGCATTTCCACAAAATCAATAATGTAGTAGTAGTTTGTACCATGCTGATCTGGAAATTTCTCTTAGCCGTAGTAATATCTGTTGTAATGTCAACACTACATAAGATATAGAAAGGACTTCTTACAAGGGGATCCTTTACAAATATTATTTTATCTAAAGATTCGTACTACAGTTCCACTATACATTTGCTATATAATACAAACAATCCCTTTGTACTACTGTGGCTTTGTGCTATATAATTTTGGGGTTTGCAAGATGGAGACTGAAGGAATCCTACAATTTTCAAGCTTTTTGTCTTTTCAAATACTTTGTGCAGTGTGAGCAGAACTGAACGGAGTGGAAGGTATGGCTCAATCATAGATAGAGATGATCGTGATGACCGGGATTCTAGAAGCAGGCGGCGAGAATCTGATTATAAAAGATCGAGTGAGGAGCGCAGAAATGACAGATATGATGACTACCGAGATTATGATAGTCGGGATTACGATGGCAGAGATTATGATGGTCGAGATTATGACAGTCCTGAGGTGAGCAAAATATCCTTTGTATACTTCTCAATAACATAGGAAGTGTAAACATTTGTCTATTGTTATATATATTTTCAGTGGCATACCTTCTGGTTGCATTTGTTATATAGAAAAACAGCCTGAATTTATATTTTATTTGCTATATCAGAATGGTTAGAGAATGTATTTTCAAATGTATTTTTTATTTATTTTAAAATTTGTTTTATATCCTACCCTCTCTTCCTCAAAAAATAGCAAGGAATTGCAGGAAATTGGAGCCATACTCATACAATTAAGACTTTGTGGTAACTGGGAAATTATTAGATTTGTGTAGATTTAACACTATTCAGTATCCCTAATTTTTAATACACCAACTGGTTATCTTGTTATGCCACAATTGTTAAACTGCCTGCTTATTTGGCAGAGGGAACGTGAACGTGAGCGACGTAATAGTGATAAATCAGAAGATGGGTATCATTCTGATGGAGACTATGGAGAGCATGACTATAGAAATGACATTAATGATGAGAAAGAAAGCAAGACCATCATGTTACGTGGCCTGCCAATTACTGTTACAGATTATGATGTGAGTAACCTTTTATTCTTGATTTAAAAATTTTAAATTGCATAAGAGAGATTAGGAATTGTATCCTTTAAATAGATAATTTTTTTAAGTTTCTACATAGCGATTTTCTGAATACTTTGCCCCGTTCCCCCCCTGCCCCCCCCCCCACAAGTTTCCACATCTTGAATCTATATTTCCTATTATCAGGATAGGTTGCAGTTTCTCGTGCTAGGTTTTCATGAACTGGATATGAATGAAAGTGGGAGGAGCTGATGAATGGGTCCCCACCCCCAGATTTGGAAATAATACCTTTGTACATTCCCTGTATAACTTTCCATATTATTGCAGGTTTTTTCTGATTAGTTTTGAGCGGGTAGCCAGTACAACATGGTTGGGAATCATACATCTCTGTAACTGTTGGATTGTAACTCCCAACATTTACTTGGCTCTGGCTGATTGGAGTCCAGAAACTTCTTTGAGATCAAGTGATTCTCACCCTCTTATGTAGACTTCAAATCTTGGTGTAATAATTATAGATGTCTATAGCCCCTCACAAGACATTGGAGGACCATGCCCTCTACAGCTGCTCTTCCTGCCTTCCCCCTCCTATTAGTAATTTCATTATTTTGCTCTTCAGGTGCTTTCTAAGAGACATTCTCACACATTATTTCTCTACTATAGTTTTTTTTTATACTAGTTCATCATATTCATGAGTAAGGAATGAGAAGGAAAGGCATTTCTACACCTGAAGATTAAAATGTCCCTAGTTACCTTTAATTTAATGTTTCATTATCGATGTTTCATTATTCATGTTTATGTTTTAATTTGGTTAGGCTTTTAATGTATGTTATATTGTCTTGCTATTACGTTTTGGTTTTCACATGTGTGTACGGCATTGAATTTTGCCTTTATAATGTTGGAAAACCGCTTTGAGTTCCCTCAGGGGGAGAAAAGCAGTAAATAAATGTAGTTAATAATAATAAATAAAATTTTAGGCACTTGCTGTGTAGCATTTTTATCTCATGTAGCAGTGGTAGGTGTAAAAAAACTGGAAGAAATTCTGTTGCTCTTCTGTAAACTACCTTTCCTATTTGAAATAAAACAGCTTTCTGTGTACTTTTTTGAGGCATTATTCCGTTACCTATAGTCCCCTATTTCAGAAATAATTGTCACAAATTTTTCTAAATAGTAAGATATAGCATTAATCTGAATACTTAAAAATTTATTATGAAAATAATTATTCAGTGTATTTTGCGAATGGTTATTGGAAATGTTAAGATCTAAATGTGAAAATGAAAAAAAGTTAAGTGGCTTAGATTAGAAACTCTGATTTTCTACCATGCTAATCCTAATTCGCTTTTGTTTGTGAGTCTTGGATTCCTAAAACTCATTTGAAGTATAAGAATTGTTAACTAAAATGTATGTTTTATGTTGAAAAGCATTTTTATTTTCATTGGTTCCTAATATGTTTTTGAATGCCAATGGTATTTTATTAAACATGCATACAGATTCGAGACATCATTGAATCCTGTGAAGGCCCTCGGCCTGCAGATGTGAGACTGATGAAGAGAAAGACAGGTGAGCCCATTGATCTGATCTTTTTGCGTTAGTTTCCTTTTCCCCAGGCTTAAAATATTTTCCAAAATTGCCCTCATCTGCAAGTACAAAGCAAAAAAGAAAGGTTTGCCATGGGTAAGGAATTCGGCCTTTTGAAAGGTCATAGATAGTGGAAGAAGCCTTCATTTTTTATGTATGTTAAGAGCTGGTAAGTACTGTAAAAATGACATTTAAATTTTAGTAATCCATTGCATGGTTAATTTTGAACGTGGATCTCATTCAGGTGGAATGTGTCCTCTTAAGGCAGCTTGGTTTCCTTGCCATGGCAAAACAAGAAGCAAATTCAGAGTTGACGTCGCATTTATAAAACTGCTTTGTCATGAAGTAATGAAGCAGTTGGAGAGAGATTCACCTGTTTTAAAGGAACTGACTAACACAAGTATCCCGTCTATATCTGAATGCTGTCTCTAGGTGTAAGCCGTGGTTTCGCCTTCGTGGAGTTTTATCACTTTCAAGATGCTACCAGCTGGATGGAAGCCAATCAGGTTGCTTCACTCACAAAGTCTAGATTATTCCTGAAAACGGAACAAGTCTGTACAGTTTTTAAAAAGGAATAAATAAAAAAGCTGAAGGAGTGGTTTGTCCCAAAACTGTGACTTTCTAAATACTAAATGCTTTGTATATATTAAAATTTTTAGATGGAATGAATAGTCCTAGAGAAACGCAGTAGATTTTGCCAAACCATCTTTTATAGAATGAACAAAATCTCTGCTAGCATATCATTTAACCTTCTTGATATTTTGTCTTTATTTTCATAAGCTTATATATTCAACAGACTTTTATGACTGTTGCAATTATTTAGATATATAATTTATACCAGCCTTACCTGAAAAGATGCCATTTGTGAAACTTGCAGCTGCAGTTTTTTAGTAACATGCATTTTCCCTAATATTACTTTATAGAAAATTATATGAATGGCAACTAAAGGGTTGTACATGAAAAATATAAGTAACAAAATGACAAGCTAATTTACTTCCTGTTCTGCATATTTGCAGTTAATTGATATGCTTTTAATCGATCATAGCAAAACTACTTTCCTACTAAATTGGTATAAAATGATACCCATGCAGCTGAAGGATATACTAAAATTCTAAAGATTTACAGTAACAAACAGTATTCTTTTTTGAGAACAAGGCTGAAAAAAACCCATCTTGTATGGTATTGTATTATTTTCTGATGCTGCAAAATAGTTTTTCTTGGGGTTATATCATGGGCAAGTGCCTCAGCAGTTAAGCAAAAATAAATAAATGCGAACATCTGCTGAATTTCATACTGTAGCAAGCGTGGATGAGAAACATTTGGGTTTCTAAACTATTGGTAAGCTGCAATCACAATTTTAATGTATACAAAGCTGATCTTGGTTTTCAGTTTACTTGAATCAGTCTTTGGCTCACTCCAAAATAACCATACTCTAGTTTTAGGGAAACAGTAGTTGAGTCTCCCTGGTGGCCCTATTGCTGTTAATTGTCGGACAAACAGGATCTACTGTAAAAATGCCAACATTTTGTTTGTGTGCATGACCCAGTTTGTTCTGGGCCCTTCAACCTCTCCCTCATTATCCTAATCCAACAAATAAAGGATAAAATCAGTTCTGCCAGACCATCTATGGCTCTGAATGCTTTTTTATATTGGAACAAGCTCTCTCAAAATACATTCTCACCTAAACTTAGATTTGATCCTTGCAAGTCCAGCATACACATTCCCTGGGCATGTTTAAAAGGTGCATCTCTCTGAAGAATAATAAAAAACTTACGGAGTTCTGAATACATGGGAATCAGTAAAGTTTAAAGTTCAGAAACTTGGCTTCTTTTAATAGATTTAAACAGCTATTTTAATAAATGGTAATTTTGAACGGGCATTGGAAGCAAAATGAACTTGTGACTGTATTGATGAAACAAGTAGCAAGCTAGTTGTTTGAAGAAAGCTACTTCCTGAGGAAAACCTATTTGTATTAACACAAGTTTTCATACAAATTTGAATTTATCAGAACTACTCAACTTGTGTTCAGTTAATAATTGTAATTCAGTATCCAAGATATATAACAAAGTCCTCTTGAAATGATTTAGTGTACTTTCAAGGGGTACATCATGAAGAAAGCAACTGAAAGCAGAGTATATGTTTTGTGGTTCTAAAACTAGGTGGTTGGGAAGAAGTGAAGCAGTCACTTGACATTGTTTTAAAGAGCAGTGTGTCATTAGGACTCTGTCTCCTTTGAGACACTTCCTGGTTCCATAACAGCACTTAGTTCTGGCAGCCTCATCACTCCCTGATTCCGTTGACATCCCATTTTCTTGCTGCCCGTGTCCTCCTGCAGGATTGGATGGGCAGAGTGTAGGTGGCGGTGGTTGGTTCTCTACGTCCTCCCCATGTGTTGTCCATTCAGTTCATGAGCACTGAATCCTCCGAAGTGTGCTCTGCCATGGGAAAATGGACACCTGCTGTGGTACTGGAATAACTAAATGTGCTTTTTTTGCAGAAAATGGTGATTCAAGGAAAGCAAATTGCAATGCACTACAGCAACCCCAGGCCTAAATTTGAAGATTGGCTCTGCAACAAGGTAAGGGGGTGTTTCTGCAAAGGGGGGCTATTTGATTTGTTCCATCCTTGTTAGTCATACTCTGGGAAGTGAATAGTGTGCCATTTTCCACTCAGGTGATGCCAATGGTATTGATATATTACAAGAAATGTAAGGCATAGTCTAATAACTGGAAAATGCAGGTCAACAAGAAGTACAGTTTGAATATCTCTTACCTGCAATGCTTGAGACCAAAAGTGTTTTGAATTTTGGATTATGTTTCTTTCCATATATATACACAATGAGACATCCACACTGACAACATAAGTCACTTCTAGGATTTCCTAGGTAATAGTTGCACAGCAAAAGTTGATTCCATAGCAAAATTCTGGAACCAGTTTGAGACCTAGATGGTGCTTACAAACCCACAGCATTTGTACACATTTAGGGCTTTCTTTTGTGTGCTTTCATAGTTTCGAACTGCAACAAATGGTCAATGGTACAACAAACTGCAACAAATGGTAAATGAACTGCAACAAATGGTAAATGAGGCCTTAGAGATGGGATCCTAATTTAAACAAGACATTCCTTTATATTTCATACAAACTTTATCTAAATAATGTGATGATATTTCAAATAATTCTGTGCAAGAAACAAAGTTAGTGTACATCAAATATCTAGAAGGCAATGTGCCACTATCTCAGCTACCCATGTGGATTTTGAATTATTTGGTATATTGGAATTCCAGCTAAGGGATGCTCAACCTGTACCCCACTTGCTTAGAGTATTGTAAATAATAGCAAATACAGAAATGTGCAGTAACATAATAAGACCTTGTAGTAAAAGGTATGAAATTTACATGGTATTTGCAAATTAGAATTTCTGCCTTGATTAGAAGTGGAAATTGGCCAGGGCATAATCTGGAATTGAAGCGCTTCAGCCAGTGATAACAAAGTTTTATAGACCGAGATTAGAATCTTCTTGGTAATACATCATGGCATAATGGTGTTACCCTACATAAATACTTCACTTGGTACTGTACAAGGCAATGCAGCACCTCCTTGTTTGGGCTTTTTGCTCATCTGCCATGGGTTTCACATCCATGAAATTCTAGTGTCATAGGATTACAGATACTGCATTTTCCTCATGTGGATTCAAAATGTGTAATAAATCTTTTCAAAGTGGAATTTTTATTAAAGCCAAATTCAGTAATTCTTCAGGATTGTAGTTGAAAGTTGAATAGACATTGCTGAGAATGTTGCCTGTCTAAAACTTGCATAGAAATTCTGCTTTTGTCTAATCCAAATGGGTCATGTCCAGTAAGACCTTTGTATCTGTGGGTCCGGTACCCATAGTTTCATTTCTCTATATCCAACAAAATACGTCTCATCTAGGCATTTTGCGGGTCCTCCTGCATGACTATTTTTTTGGCCTGGAGGTGTTCTTCATTTCAGTAGGGCTCACTATTATCCACAGATTCACATACCTATGTCTGCACCACAGCTGCTTTACTTTAAAACTGGTATAGGTGCAGTGTCTCTTAGAGCATATTTGATCAGGTGAATAATCTAAAATGTAATTGGTTTGTTTGCTTGTTAGTGCTGCCTTTACAACTTCAGAAGGCGACTAAAATGCTTCCGTTGTGGAGCAGATAAGTTTGGTAAGTTCTGTTTGTATAAGTTACATTTAAAGACAAACTTTTCTGTTGTGGTTAAAACCCTGCATGCAGTTTTTCTGGCATGGTAGAGTCATCTTGATGTAATAACTTAAACTTATTTTCCTGGTTTTGTAATGAAGACTCAGAGCAGGAGGTACCACCTGGAGGACCAGAGGCTGTTCAGTCTGTGGATTACTACTGTGATAGTAAGTAAAGCCTCTTTGCATTTTGCTCGGGGATTGTTTGGTCTAAGATTCATTACATCTATCATTTTCTCTGCAGAAGTCATTGTGCATTTGTTCACTGTTACTAGGACTTGGACAATTCATTGGGTGCATTTTTTTTAGTTAGGTGTAAGCTTAGTCTCCATCCTAATAATTATTAGTGGTTCTTGCATTCCGAAGTAACTTTTTTTCTGACTGATCTTTCTTTACTGCTGTCTCTTGCAACACACATTCTTCTCCCCTCTCCCATGCCCTTCTTCTACCTGAGTAGGAAAGTGAAAAAGTGGCCATCTTCATGTTACATTTCCTAGTACTGTGGTATTTTTTTTCAGTATTGAGTGAAAGGGCTCTTTCTTTCTCTTTCTCAAATCCAGGAATATTTACAAAATAGACAAGCTTTTATCATAGACTTATTCCTCAGTATCTGCTCTCCTGCAGCTACCTCTTTTTGACGTTTATATTTTCACGTCTTTGTCACTCACAGACAAAAAAGTGTTGCCCTCTGGTTAATTGTCATGGAGTAATAGCAAAAAATGTAACGAGATGTATAGTCAAATGATTAGTTTAAATTGGCTGTTGGTTTAAAATGGTGTATTGTGATAATAGATATAACGCATGCACGACTGGGTGATATTGATTAAAAATGCATCGTGGTTCTTGTGTGGACAATCTAGGGCCTTAGAAAGCAGTGTGTAATGAAATCTTTTCCCTCCTATAGCTCTCATTCTCAGAAATATAGCTCCTCACACAGTAGTGGAATCCATCATGACTGCTCTGTCACCATATGCTTCACTAGCAGTTAATAACATCCGGCTTATTAAAGACAAACAGACCCAGCAGAATAGAGGCTTTGCTTTTGTTCAGTTGTCTTCAGCAATGGTAAGGGAGTGTTTGTTTGCATTAATTTGAGTGTGTTTATTAGGGGTGGGGAGAGACACTGATTCCTAGAAGTATTCCAGTGCAACACAATGCACCTTTTTGAGAGATGGCGTTGCTAGCTCCCTTTGAAATACCTTTTTGATAGCTTACAAACTGAATTTAGGTCAGAATAAGCAATGTTTCTCCCAATAGACATAGTGATAAAATGTGAAGCCGACCGGTTCTCACCTTGGCTAAACACTTGCATGTCACATGCTGACCTTTGGGTTAGTTTTCTTACACATCTTTACAGTGTATATACAATTTATTCTGGATAGAAGCATTGTATTTTTGTGTTCAAGCTTTGTTCAAAGAAACAGCTTTCTTTTCCTTTTTAGGATGCATCTCAGCTGCTACAGATTTTGCAGAATCTTCAACCACCTTTGAAAATTGATGGCAAAACAATTGGTGTGGATTTTGCAAAGAGTGCTAGGAAGTGAGTTGTCATTTTATCAGATCCTCTATTGAGTGGCATAGAATTACAAGTCTGCATACTCCTTTGTTATAGTATTAAATGTTGGTGTTTATGGAGTGAACTGGGGACAGTGTTTTAGCTGTGATAACTCCAGAATTCGGGGGGGGGGGGGAATCTTACATTCAATCACATGATCAAAGGATTAGACTTTTCTGAGCTGGTACTGCAGCTTGGTTGTATCTAAAATGCAACTGTGTTTTGTAGATTCCTGTAATATGCAATTATACTTAATTCCTTTTTTGCAGGGATTTGTTACTCCCAGATGGCAACCGAGTAAGCGCTTTCTCTGTTGCTAGCACTGCCATTGCGGCCGCCCAGTGGTCATCCACTCAGGTAAGAAATCTGTCTTAATTACTAATGACAGGCAAGGTTATTAAAATATCCTTTTCAGTCACCATTTGAACAGACTTGCGGTTGTGTGTATGTGTTTCAAATGTTTAATACTGTTTTTTAATCCATAGCCTCAGAGTGGAGAAGGTGGCTCAGTTGATTTCAATTACCTCCAGCTAGGTCAGGATGGCTACAGCCAGTATAATCAGGTGAGTAATAATGGTATTTTAAACAACAATTTTGATCTAAGACAAAATAATGAAAGGGAAAATTTCTGTTCCTCACACGCTAAATCTGAAGAGACCCATGACTTGCCAGATTTGCTTTTTATGACTTTCACCCAGATTAGGAGGGAGAGTGTAACATCCGAGACAATTACTAAGTTTCTTAAGTGTTACACTGCGGTTGTTTTTTAAAAAAAAAACTAAAATTTTAAAAAATCCTGGAATTTATGTCAACAAGAACTCCAGAATTTGCATGATGAAATGTTCTGCAAAATTAATAAACCACTTAATAAATACAAATGCTAAAATAATGAAAATGACACAGGAAATGTGCAAAACAGTAATCAAAAAGTGCTTAATAAACAAAGCCTTTTCAGTGCCATCATTAAACTTTTGCTGAAAGAAATACAAGAACATTCTCTGAACTATAGAAATTGATACTGATTTCAGGACAGCATTTATAAATGATCTTAGGTTACGGATAGGCACATACAGGTTTTATATATCTTTTCATTCCATCATCATTGCTTAGTGGTAACTTTGGGCTGCATTCTTTGCATAATGTTCACAGGATTATCAGCAATTTTACCAGAATCAGACAGGAGCAGTGGACACAGACACAGCTACAATATCAGGTAACAGTTTTTGTAAGAGTTAAAACTCTGCTTATACACTGGGCCCTCAGTATCTTCTGGGATTTGGTCCCAGGACCCCTGTAGATACGAAATGCTTGCATACTGAAGTCCCACAATATATAGTGTTGCGGTAAAATGGCATCCCTTTGTAAAATTGCAACTCGGATGAGTGCCAGAAAGCCTGAGCATTTGTAAAATGGCGAGAGGCAACAGCAGAGTATGCCCACATTTTAGCATAGTGTTCATTGCATGGGAAAATGAATTTTTTTTATTTCCCCCCGAATATTATTGAGCCATCGTTGGTTAGATCTGTGGATATAGATCTCCTATATATGGAGGGCTGACTGTAAGGCCAATGATCTGCTTACATAACTATGGGTTTTCTGAATGAGACAGAAATCTTTGTAAATAGAATAATGAAGTGTAATTCTAGTTTTTGAAAAATGTTTTTATGCAGTGCCTAATGAACTGTGTGTTGGCAGGTGCTCCAGTGACAACTGCTACTACAGCAGCTGTGGTTTCCCAGAGTCCCCAGTTATATAGTCAACAGGCCAACTCACCTGATTCACCGGTAATTACGAATGTCTTTATTGCATAAAGTGTTTGTCTTAGAGCTGTTTTTGTATATTTGCATAATAGTCTGAAAACAATTAACAAAAGATGGTTCTTGTTGCAGTTTCATATATTTAATTTCATTATCTATTTGTATGTGGTCCTAATTTGTTTATATAGATATTAATGGATACTGATGTATTTGAGGCATCTGTCAGCTGATTAGAATTTGAGTGGGTCCTACCTGGTATTTTAAAACCTGTTGGTTGTACATGGGTTCATATAAAGAATCTTTAGAGGCAGTTGACAGACCTGCATTAATGTGTGTTCTGACATGTACAGTAATATATTTGGCAAAAAACTTCAGATGTTTTGGAAATCCTGTTTTCTTAATTGTGATTTTCTTTTCCAGACACAGGCATCACAGCCCAGCACAAGCACACAAGTGCCAATAACTTCTCCAACTGGTGTAGTCCCTGGTACCAAATATGGTAAATATGTTTACCAACTAAATGACAGCTGAGTGGGAATGTTTAGTTTCAGATGAACATGTTTTATCTGCTACAATATTGTCCTGAAGGAAATAACCCTAACACCCCTTTAACTGGTTGACAGAATGAATAGATAAGAGACCAGAGACATCCAAGACAGCAAGATAGAAAATATGTGTAAACAGCTGTGTACAGGCTGATGTTATAACTGTTGGAAGTGTTGCATAACTGTTGGAAGCAACAGTCTTCACTAGGTGGTGCTGTGTCTCACAAATTCACCTGGGGTCTATCAAGGCCTTTTCCACAGATGAATTTTATTAGGCTAGGAAAATGATTTTGGCTGGACAGTAGCCAGTGATAAATAGTGTTCTTAAGTGTTATGAATGTTTATTGTTTAGGCACCTTAGTAATATTTCACACTTGCTCTTTGCAGCCGTTCCAGATACTTCTACATATCAGTATGATGAATCATCTGGTTTCTATTATGATCCTGTGACAGGGCTGTATTATGATCCGAATTCCCAGGTAATTCCCTGCACTGTCTTCGTGAACTCAAAGTACCTGGAGTTTTAAAAGCTCCATGCTGAGGTCTTGCAAGTTCCATTTCGGAAACAGAATGCCATTCAGAACTTTCTGAGGAACTAGAAAGGCTAGTCCACGTTTGACAGAAACCATGTCTTGGCCAGTGCCTAACAGTAAGAGACTATTGGGATAGGTGGCCCAGTGATCTGATTGGATGTTCATTTACCAAGTTGACATTTGCATATTCCTTTGTGGTATTCAAAGTTGCCATGTGGCCTTTTGATTAGTTCATCTTCACCATTGTCTGTTGGATATCTAAAGCAGCCCTGGCATAAAATGGAAGCTGCCGAGGTTTTTCTCTTAGTAATATAAACATATTTGCTTGGTGCTGTTGTGACTCAGAGCCCAAAGATTGTCCAACACAGCTAGTAAGGGGTTAACAAAGTCTTTAATAGGTCTTTAACAAAGCTAACAGCACTTAAACTGCAGTACCGATTAGCGACACAAGCCTTCAAGCAGGTAAACAAACGGGGAGGAAAAAACGGGATATCCCAGAACTCAGCTTCTCAAAAAGAAAGCAGGAGCAAAACTGGCGATGGCAATAGCGTAAACAGTCCTAGGTCAAACACGGAGAGAGGCAGCAAACGAAGTCCAGAAGGCAAATGGCGTGGTCCAGAAATGTTCCGTAGTCAAGGGGCAAGACGAAGTCACTCACATAGTCCAATCCAGAGTCGAGGCACACAAAGACACGATAGCTGTATTCCCAGGACCCAAACAGAGGTAAGGCAGCACAAAACACCCGATACAACGCTTTGTCTTCTGCAAAACTACCCATCCCAAAGCCCTCATTTTATCAGCAGTCGCTATCACTGGATTGGCTCTCATCACTTACACCTGGATCATTATCCTTAGCTGTGACCTCATTACCACGCCAGCGCTGCCAACGTTGACCTTGTCCAGAATCCTCCCAAGAAGTACCTGCCTGCCATGTATCATGAAACTTCTCGAATTCATCACTAGACGTGGGCTGTGTGCATATGTCCTGAATTTCCCTAACCCAAGTCCAGTCCAGCCCCTCTTCCATATCCCCATCATTGGATCCCTGTTCATCCGAACTGCAATTGTCAGCTACGTCTTTAAGACGCTTGCTCATTACTTCTTCATCACTGTCAGTCTCACTGGCAAAACGTTTTACTCCCCTGTAATCCAGTTCCTCTAAGTCTTCGGGTCCAAACCCTGCAAAGTCCTCAGAATCACTGGGTGCCATGATAACATCCCGAATGCGTTTCAGCTGATGCTGTTCCTCCTCCAACTCTGCATCACTCCTTCTCCTCCTACACCCACTAGTAGGTTCACTGCCAGGACGCTGAGTTAACAACAGTAGCTTAATCCAAAAACTGATCCCATAATTTGTTTTGCGTTTGAAAATAATGGTAGCTCTTTGTAAAGTTAGGCAGAAGAAAGTGTGACATTCTTACTTCTGTTTCAGTACTACTACAATTCACTGACACAACAGTATCTTTACTGGGATGGTGAGAAGGAAACTTACATGCCTGCAGCAGAGGGCACCACATACCAGCAAACTAATGCCCCACCTAGCAAAGAAGGGAAGGAGAAGAAAGAGAAGCCTAAGAGTAAAACTGCTCAACAGGTGATATTTGAAATGACAGCTTTCGTTGATAAGATCAAAGCCTGTATGAATGAAATAAAGGACACACTTGCTGAATAATAAGGATTTCATAGCAAACTGAGTAATTTAAAATATGTGACACTGCAGACAGATATGTACAATATGCATTCTGGAGAAGCAGAGGGCTTCTAGAAAGATGTAGTTGTGGGTTCAAAGATGTCATTGTATACTGAAATCTCTAGCACAGTAATGTTGCTTCTGGAGCAATAGGAAAGTGTCAGCCAGCTTTTTAAGTAGTCCACAAGATGCTGATAATCAAACTGTTTTCTGTGGTACCTTTAAGGTGAACAAATTTCTAATAGCCCCTGCTTCAGCATATCACCCGGGCAATTATAAATGTGTCAAGTCTTTAGGTGCCATAAAGCTCTACATAGGTTCTGCTGCAACAGATTAACTTGGCTACCCTTTGAAAAACATCCCCTTGAGAATTCCAAGGAATTTTAGAGATTAGTTTTTCACACTCTACTGTACTTGACTTAGATTATTTTAATTCTGATATAACTTAAGTCCCATATGAGTAAACTAATGGAATGATGAGGATGAGGGAGAAATGGCATTATGTTTTATTTGTTGTATGTACACAGTCTAAATTTAATCTTTTCCCAATTAGATTGCTAAAGACATGGAGCGTTGGGCTAAGAGCCTAAACAAACAGAAGGAGAACTTCAAGAATAGCTTTCAGCCTCTGAATGCAAGGGAGGAAGAAAGAAGAGAATCTGCAGCAGCAGATGCTGGTTTTGCTCTCTTTGAGAAAAAGGTAAGAATGTTTGGCTTAGTAGCATTTGGTGTACCACATTTAACAAGGTAGATGTGTTCCTGGGCATTACTCCTTTAACAGAAATGTTGATATCAGAGTCAGAAAAAACATTGAAACAATAGGGATACATTCCTATACAACAAAAAAGATGAGCGCTTCAGAAGATTTCAGCAAACTTTATCTAAAACGGACAACATGCATTAGTAAAATGAAACAGGTCAGGTCAGCCTTACATAAGTAAACAAAAGTGTTTTACATCTAATGGAAACCACTTGAAAGCTGCTTTCAAATAACATTTCAGGTATAGTTTTTCACCAGCTTTTTCTTTTATATCTCGATAGATTTATACTCTTAAAAATAGTGTGGATTACTGGTAAGGCAGGCATATCTATTTGCCCCCCCCCCCTTTGTATTTTATGCATGCTTAGTAGGAGGTTTTGGAAGGAGCTGTTTTACTCTGTTGTAGGAAGGTATACACAACTATTGTGGGATTTCTGTAGAGTAAAAACTTGTTTTTTTTCATCTTGGGTTTTGTTGCATTGTTTGCTTCAGATATGCTTCTGCAATTTGAGACACAAAATCTGTGTTTCTTTAGTGCTCCTTCACCATGCTTCTAATGTAGTAGTAGCAAATTTTATTGATTAGCCCTTAGGCCACATCAAAATACCAAACCAAACAAAAAGGCTTGATGAAACTTGATTACTCTATATAGTAAGTAAAACATTTATAACAATACACTAAATAAATATGATAAAATTGAATATACACATCTCGTTTCCGTATCACCCCTATAATTCACCATGTTGCAAGTTGCTTCTGGTGTGAGGCGACCGTGCTTGGTGTGGTCCATACTTCTAATGCTAATACTGCTAAACACCTTCCAGTTACATAAGAGGATGAAGCTGGTCAGGCATAAAACTACTTTGTTAAAAGGAGGTTTTTAGTCAAAGGTTTTGTTAACAGGAACGTGTGTACAAAAGGATTTTGTTTGCTGTCTTTTAATTCATGTGTTTGTTTTTTTTCAAGGGCACTTTGTCTGAGAGACAGCAGATAATAACAGAAGTAATAAAGAATGGTGATGACGATAACCCACTGAAAGTGAGCATATAGAAATCTTACTTGACTTTTGTAATACCTGCTTTATGAACCCCCTTTCAATGAGTATAACTTATGTACACACTTGCATTCTCATAATCGGCAAATGTTAAACCAAACTTCAGTTAATAGTTTGAACAACGACAGGTTTTTATGATATTATTTTTTCTACCTGCAATGTTTATGTGACCCTGGAATATAGAATAGGCATAAACATCAAACATTTACTGAAAATATATCAGCATTTGCAAGGCTTGCTAAATAGGATGGTCCAATTTTTACACTTATTTAGCATAGTAATAATGGTGTTCTTTGTGAAGTGTCTAAAATCCATGTGGAGTGTCTAAGAAGTGTCTCAAAATATAATTCCCCACCATCACTAGGTTTTAATGGAAGAAAAGAATAGTTTTCTGCTGTTGTGTATCAGTAATACATTTACATCCGGTTTTGTTTTTCTTCTAGCGTGGATTGGTGGCTGCTTACAGCGGAGACAGTGATAATGAGGAGGATTTTTTGGAAAGGTTGGAGAGTGAAGAAGAAAAGTTAACGGATTGGAAAAAGCTGGCCTGTTTGTTATGTAGAAGACAGTTTCCAAATAAAGACGCTCTGGTTAGACACCAGCAACTCTCTGATTTGCATAAGGTAACCACCTGCTTCAAATTAGTAAAATATAGTTGTTCAGAACGTTTATAATTGCTGCCTAGGGTCTTCTTGTTTTGAGAGCAAAACAGCAAGGACAGCTTTGCCAAAAGGAAAATTGTCCCCTTTAAATGAGCAAAATAACAATGAGTCTCTGAACTGTCAGTTTTCATTGCTCATAAAAATGAATTTGATAAAAAAATGGCATTTTTCTTTTAGAAACAAAGTGTAAATTATTTATAATCACAGAAGATACAAAAGATGGACTTGCCAAATTGATTGGTCAAGATGTTACATTTTGTCCCCTTTTCTTCCCTTACAAAGCAAAACATGGACATCTACCGGAGATCTAGACTATCGGAGCAAGAACTTGAAGCCTTAGAAATGCGTGAAAGAGAGGTTAGTGACATGAGAAGGAAGCCATAGCTTACATAGTCCCCAAGTATCCTTAGTCCTCATGCCTGATTAACTCTCCTCTTTTTTGCATGATGGGGACTGTAGCACATTTTTGAGGTTGATCCTGAGTTCAGAAGTTAATAAGCATTGGTTTCATTTCAGATGAAATACAGAGACAGAGCAGCTGAAAGGCGTGAGAAGTATGGCATTCCAGAACCACCAGAGCCAAAGCGGAAGAAAGTCTTTGATGCTGGCACTGTGTATGTACTTGAGAGTTGATGCAGTTGCTATTGAAACACATTTTCTACCATTTTCATTAGCTTAACCTTTTGTTGCTTTCCTGTAGGAATTATGAGCAGCCCACTAAAGATGGCATTGATCACAGCAATATCGGCAACAAAATGCTTCAGGCCATGGGGTGGAGGGAAGGCTCCGGCTTAGGAAGGAAATGCCAAGGCATCACAGCCCCCATTGAGGTAGGCATGGATACATGTTGAGAACAAAATACATTTTCTGCGTGACATGGAGCTGGTGCAGGGGTTCAAAGCTCAAGATGCTATTGCTATTTTGATCATTGTCTCAATTCCCTTCATTTACAGGTTTTTTTTTATTGTTCTGCCTTGCTAGCTGGTCATGTTTTACCTTCACTTGAACCTATTCACAGATTTAGAACAGATTCCTATGGAAGGAGAGCTGAAAAACAGACAAGAGAGGCGGAAAATCAGAAAAGTTGGGAGTAGCTTCAATTCCAATAAGGAGGCAAACTGTATAGGAAATAACAACAATCTGCGTCTGACTGTGAAGCAGCAGATTAGGAGTCAAGGCATTAATTATATTACAGTCAGAGAAGCAGATTGAGTTGTTCTTCTCTATGCAGTTTGCTTCTTTTCAGGTGACTAATGCCCTGCGAGTCAGTTACTAGGACAGCCTAGTAGCAGAGTATGAGCAGAGATGCAGTAAACCAAAAATTAAGTCCTTATTTTAAAAGCAGGGTGAACTGAATCAAGTGATGCAGGAAGCACTTCCAATAGTAATGTAATTAGTTCAGTGAATGCTAATTTAACAAAACAATGTAATTGTCTGAGTTTATTTCAAAGGAATGAGTTGTTTAAATGAATAGGGCATCTAGTTACCAAATTTAATAAGTCCAGTGGCCAATTATTTCCAAATCTCAAATGTAGCGGTAAGTGGAAGTAAGGAAGTAGAAAAGGAAGATCCAGCACAGATACACCAGAAGGGGAAGCTCATGACAGACAGGAAAGGAAAATGGAAGAATAGAGTAAAGGGTGAAGGGAGTGGAGTCAACAGTCAAAACAGACAACCTTGGTCTTTAAACTCATTGACATGCAAGAAATAGCCCATGAGTGAGTGGATTGTTCATCCTGCCATCCAAGAATACATTTTAATGGTGAATACCTATCACATTCTGTACTTCATTTAAAGATCTCAGAATTTTATTTTTACTGGTTGATAGAGAACCTGCCAACATCTAGACATAACTGATTGCCAGTGTAATTCCTCTGAAGTGGTTTGAGATATAACTTAAATAGAGGATTTCTGCCTCTTTCATGTCAGCTTGACACAGTTCTTCACTTCTGGGGAGAGATAGGGCAGAATATAAAGTTTTTTTATTATACTTTGTAAAGAAATATTCAGAATATCAGTTAGGAACTAACACACCTGACAAGTATTTTACAGGGGTAGTTCTAGTTCATTTAAATTTAAGCCTGCCTTCCTCACACGGAGGCCTGATGTGTGCAGGAAGCCACTGAATATTGGGAATCTTTCTGTTCCAGCTTTAAATCTAACAGAATGTCTGCTTCCCTTTTCAGGCTCAAGTAAGAATGAGGGGCGCTGGACTCGGAGCCAAAGGGAGCTCTTACGGTGCCTCAACAGCAGACTCATACAAAGATGCAGTACGGAAAGCTATGTTTGCCAGATTTACTGAAATGGAATGAGATCCATCTGTCTTGCAAAGATGAAAAGTGGGGAATATCATCTGTCCTTCCGGCTGACTGTTATATACTTTATGACCCCAAAGAAAAGTTATGGCTTGGGGTTAACCACTTCTGTTCCTGGTTTTCCTTCCAGTGTAATTCTTCCATTGGTGGATCGTAGGATGCAAAACGCCCCAGTTTCTTCATGTTGGAAGAACCATAACTAGATAAAGGGAGGGTATTGTCTGTACATTTTTGTATATAGTGTAAATTAAATGTGTTGTGTCATATATTTGAATAGTCTAAAAGCCACTTCTGTCCTGTGGAGCAGTTGGAAGTGTTATGACCTGACACTGCTACTTTGTATTGTTTTTCTCATTTTTGGCAAAAAGTTCGTGTACATTTTGTAAGATAAGTATTTGTATAGAATTTTTCAAAACTTTGATTCTAGATGCCAGGCTTCTTTGAGCAGGAAATAAAACCTAAACCAACATTGCTTTTTCATGGAAGAATGAGTTTGTGAGGCAGAATAAATGACTTGAGTCAAAGTGTTTAACTTTGCATTCATAGTACTCTTAAGTACAATACATTTTGGGTTGTAGGTTTTTTCGGGCTATATGGCCATGTTCTAGAGGCATTCTCTCCCGACGTTTCGCCTGCATCTATGGCAAACATCCTCAGAGTTAGTGAGGTCTGACCTCACTACCTCTGAGGATGCTTGCCATAGATGCAGGCGAAACGTCAGGAGAGAATGCCTCTAGAACATGGCCATATAGCCCGAAAAAACCTACAACAACCCAGTGATTCCGGCTATGAAAGCCTTCGACAATACATAATACATTTTGTTTTCTTATGTGGATTTTAAACTTTGGGGTATTTAAATACAAATACTTAGGAAAATTGCAAGTTCCCATAAGGCTAGGAAGCCATCTTTCAGAATTAAGTCTTCATATTTTGTGCTAATTGATACATTCTACTGTAGTTTTACAGTAGTTGCTCATTTCTCCAGAACTTGTTCTTTTCAGTTCTGTCATCTGAAAATTATAGAGAGATCATTTTTAGCATCTTAATGGTTTTGCCAGGAAAAGATAAGTAGTCTATAATGAGCTTTATATTATGGTGATTTGCCTAATTTACTAGATTGATTTTTCTATTTACTTCCACATCTCCACTTTTTTCTCACTGGCTGGAACTTGTTATAATTATCTGGTTCGCAAACATGCCCTTTTATACTCTTGATTTACTAGCTCCCCTTTTGGAGGATATCCATAAACTATATACATTAAATGAGCTCTCATCACTTAAAATTTAATTTCTTGGTTTGTAACTTAAGACCTTAAGTAACCATCCGAAAATGGTAGTATGATATAAATCTTATAATTGTAGCCAGTGGGTTTTTAAAACAATTTTGTTTCAGTCTTTATCTAGTCTGACTTGTAATCCTGAATGTTAGCATGTTACATCAGCTGGATATCTATTGGGAACAGAGCATTTCTGTTAAAATAGGAATTCCAGGAAAGAAAAAGGGGTCCACAGTGAGGTGTGCGCTGCACGCCTTTCAATTGTTTGTTGGCCCTGAAGACAGGAAGGATATTTCATTGGTTCATTAAGCTAGTTTTTTCATTGAAGAAGCCTAGTGTTATTAATTATGTGTGTGTGCAGTCACTGAAGGCATGAATATACTGAAGGCACCAGATCCTGTCTTAGCTTGGAAGCTAAGTAGGATCATCTGGTTAGTACTTGAATAGGAAATGACCAATGAAATCAAGATGTAGGATATATTTCAGAGGGTGAAACTGACAAAAACACCGGAATATTCCTTTCCTAAGATAAGACCTCCAAAAGGTATCTGAAGGCCACAACTGACTGCAGAGAATTTGTAAACCAACAGACTTTAGGATAAAAGAGAAAAAAAAAAAACACAAGGTATTAGTATGTGCACATACAATCCCACTGTTACAGCGAAATTGCATCTGATTATTAATATGCTAGGGAAGGGGAATAGGTTTCATCCAGGGGTCTATTTACCTTTTATGATTAGAATTTTCCTCAATTTTAAGAATTTTGTCAGAAACAATTTCCCTGCATAGCCATAAGGCAGTTCTTCGCTTCTGCAATTTGAAGAGGTTGAATCCACACAGTTTGGGTCCTCTCCCTCACTGGCTAGATTCAGAGAGGCAGCAACCTCCAAACAGATGACCCCATTTCTTGCAGAGCTCTGCCTTCCTCTAAACATCACTCAATATTTCCTAAATTCAGACCTTGGTGTTTTCAGAATTTTCTTACCTGGTTATTAACTCTGGGTGCCTGTCTATAATTTTTCCAATGAAATGAGTAGAAAATCTACACTTAGTAACAAGTGGCTGACTTTTGAATCCTTATTAGTGTAAATTGAGGCAAGTGGCCTATCCTGAGCCTTAAAAAAGGAAGCCTGTTTGTGGAAATACAAATAAGAGTTCTGTCAAAGAGGAAAGGATATGCCATTATCTGTTGTCACCACCTCTGCTACATAAGTCAAATACTACACCCTACTTGATATTTCTTTTCTTAAAATCTACATTAGGTACATAGTGTCCTAGGTGCATTGCGTCTCTTAACTTGACACACACACCCCTCCCAATATAAACCATAAAATCTAGGCAGACAGAAAGTAGACCTGAGGAATTGGTGAGCAGGATGCTGAAAGATCTCTCTCTTTTGGGTGATACAACAAGCAGAAGCACCCCCCCCCCCCCCCCCCCCAGTCAGTGCCCTGCACACCAATGTTCCTCAGTGAAGTGGGTTTTGGATGCATTTGCAATTCTCAAAATGTTGCGACAATTTTGTGAGCACCAGTTACAAGTTCATAACCTGATTGAAGTAGCTGCTGAAGAGGATAATGGCCTTTGTCTTTACAGTTCAAATCACAATGCAATATTACCTTGTGGGAAAGCAGTTTCCAAGAAAAATGGAAAACATAGCCTTTAGGTCAGACCTGAACAACCTGTGGTCCTCTGGGTCTTTTGGACTTCTGCTCCCAGAATTCCTGACTGTCGGAAAAGCTGACCAGGGCTTCTGGGACTCCTAAGCACCTGGAGGGCCAAAGGTTGTGCAGGCCTGATCTAGGTGCTGCTGGACTTCAATGCCCATCGCCCTTCAGATATGCTGGTTAAGGATCAACAGCTGCAGTCCAAAAACAGCCTGCCCTGAAAACCACAAATGTGACAAAAGGATCTGTGGGAAAGTATGCTGTAACCTCGACGTGTGTTGTGTTACAACCTGGAAATGGATTTAATTAGTACTTGACAAGAAATCATAACATGTACATTAATCACAGCTACATCTCTACCTAGTAGCCCTATGTCTTCGTGTTTGGGCGTGTGTTTTACTATGGTAAATGAGCATAAAAATACAAAAGCCTTGCATTTTGTGCTGGTTTGATTCCAGCTAAAGCTGGTGTTATCAGTTCTCTACATTCCATCCCAAGCATATTCTATGTAGAGCCTAGGAGAGAGAAAAGGGGAAAACCAGCCTTTTTGCTTAAGTTAACAGCCTTAACCAGGAGCACAAATCCCAGTTTGCCCTATCACAACCACTTTGTAAGCTCTGCCCTCTTCCCCATGACTGAGTAGGCAAGGCTGAGTGCTGCTACGTCTTGCCCAAGTGCACAAGGGAAGCCAGAGAGCAATTGGGTGTATGCTCTACTGTGCCTCCAGAAGTCAACAGCTGCCTCTGTGCACACACTACAAGCGTGGAAGGGAGTTTACGGTATCCCCTGCAGTATCTAACTGCATAAGCCACATACAATATTCTGTCTAAGGTGCATTAGATTTACCACTGAGCATCGGTCTTGGTCCTTCCTCATTTAATGCAGCTGCCTTTATTTTGGGAGGAAGGAACTGGCGTGAGCATTCCTTGACTCAGAAAACCCTACAACGTTCATGGGATTACCATAAGGCACATCCACAGGTATCTAGAGCAGTGACTCTTAAGCTTTCTGATGAGGACCAGCTATATTTTTCCTCAGACTGGTAACATAGTTGTACTCTGCAACTGTTTCTTTCATGGAAAATTGCTCTGGATTGAAGCCAACTACTCTGAGATCAGCACTGACTCAATGGCAATTCTTCCACTAGATGGCAGTATAGCTCCAAGAATGTCCTAATTCACTCCATTGGCTCCCCATCTGGAAATATATTGCTATTTGCTAATGTACATATTGCCTTGTTAGGGGGGATTGTCTCTGTTCGGGATTGCCTCTGGTCGCTTTGTACACAATTATTGGATCATTACCAAGAAACAATCTTTCTATTTATCACAGACAGCAATATTCACCTGATTAAGACCATTCTCTCCAGCAAAGACCATTCTCTCCAGCAAAGGATCACCGCCTTGTCGGGGCGCTGGAGCTTGAGCACCTCAATGATGTCATGAGCGAAACCGTGAAGGGACACCCAAGACGGGACGGTTGTGGCAGAGAGGTCAGACCAAGCGTGATCCCTGGGGAAGGCAATGGCAAACCACTCCAGTATCTTGCCAAGAAAACTATATGAACTAGTACAATCAGAAATACGTCGGTATGCCATTGGAAGATGTGATTCCCAGGTCAGAAGATGGTCAGAATGCTACTGGGGAGGAGCATAGGATAAACCCCAGATGTGATGACGCAGCTAGCTCAAAGCTGAAAGGAAGGCTAGCGGTCGACGCTGCTGGAGGTGAACGACGAATCCGATGCTCTAAAGATCAACACACCATAGGAACCTGGAATGTAAGATCTATGAGCCAGGGCAAATTGGATGTTGTTATTGGCGAGATGTCAGACTAAAGATAGACATTCTGGGGGTCAGCGAACTGAAGTGGACTGGAATGGGCCACTTCACATCAGATGACCACCAGATCTACTACTGCGGACAAGAGGAACATCGAAGAAATGGAGTAGCCTTCATAATTAATAAGAAATTCGCTAAAGCGGTGCTTGGATACAACCCAAAAAATGACAGAATGATCTGAATTCGAGTGCAAGGAAAGCCTTTCAACATTACAGTGATCCAAATATACGCCCCAACCACAGCTGCTGAAGAAGCAGAAGTAGATCAGTTCTATGAGGATCTGCAGGACCTACTGGATAATACACCAAAAAGAGACATTATTTTCATTACAGGAGACTGGAATGCCAAGGTGGGAAGTCAAATGACCACTGGGATCACAGGCAAGCATGGTCTGGGAGAACAAAATGAAGCGGGACGCAGGCTGATGGAATTTTGCCAGGAAAACTCGCTGTGTATAACGAATACTCTCTTCCAACAACCTAAAAGACGGCTTTATACATGGACCTCACCAGAGGGTCAACACCGAAATCAGATTGACTACATCCTTTGCAGCCAAAGGTGGCGGACATCCATCCAGTCGGTGAAAACAAGACCTGGGGCTGACTGTAGCTCAGATCACGAACTTCTTATTGCCCAATTTAGAATAAAACTAAAAAGATCAGGGGAAATACACAGACCAGTTAGA